TGCCTTATTTGTCTTTCAGTCCAGTGCTGTAGACAGAGTCCCTGCCTACATGACATACAGTTTGAGAGCAAAAGCTAGAGGGAGGATAACAAACAAGTGAAGTGAGACCGGTACTGAAAGACAAACATACTAACTATAAACCTGATATTCTCAAATTCACTGAGGTTTAAGTCACTCTTCTGATGCCAGACACTCACACATGTTCACACAATGACATCCTTGTCCTCAGGAGGCTTCTAACAATTGTTAAAATGGAGCGTGGTCAGTAATTTCAGTTACTGCAAAACTTAAGATTAAAGGCCAAACTCCATGTTTGTATGCTCAGCTTTCACAACAGATTTTAGACAGTACACAAGACAGAATTTCAGCTATATGCTTTGCAATCTGTCGCCTAAAAAGTGCAATACTTCAAAAATTCAGGTGAATTATTTGTTTGTTGTAAACTGCCTCCCATTCTCAAAACACCTTAATTAGTCAGTTAAGGTCTCTCAACCCAAACTGAGCAAAGCAAGTAAAAAATCTTGAATGCAAAAAATTATTTTACTAGTACTTGACAAGTTCTATCAACAAGCTATAGCTTCTCTTACTCTCTAGCCTCCCACATACACGTCTAATCCTGCCAACTAAGACTTAAAAGCAGCATCTCAGTCTTCTGGAAGAGACTGTATTTTAATTCATGGCAGTAGCATGTTAAATGATGAAATGCAATGAAAGCAAATTCTCAGACCTCTGAATCTAGAAAGACTTTTATCACCAACCGATTTGAATTCTCCCAAAAGCAAAGATGGCACTGAACATTTACACTTATTCCAAAACCCAGCAGCTTTATGGATTACTCTGACACACCGCTAGACTTCATTTCCACGCCCTTTGCAACACGTAGAGAAGTTTCTAAATATATCACCATTTCACTCATCAAACATTTGATGGCTAATACAAGAATCATTCCACTGATTAAAACATTTAAAAGGGAGTTCAGTTGTTTTTAAGATTAGTGACTCAATACAGTGGCTTCTTTTTTTGTTCTTAGCTTACCCTCCCAGTCTGCCTCCTAATCATCACCCTGACAGGACACGCACACATTGCAATCTGTATTACCCTTATACATTTTTAATTTTTCCTTTTCCAGAACACTGTATTTGGTTTTGGTGTAGAAATCTCCTTCTCCTTCTCTCTTCATGTATGAAGGAAGCTGCGAAAATGTTTTCTGCATTCAAAGAGCAAAAAAAGAACAAAGCAATCTCTACTGCCAGACTGGGCAACAGTAAAAAGGGAGGGGGTGTTACATCAGGCCTTGAAAAACACTGAACACCTACTGACTTAAGATAAACAAGAGACACATACTGCTGTGGCTTCTAAAGAGGATCCAGCACAAAACTCTCACCACAAGGTGCTAGAAATTAAGGAAAGACCAAGTATTTCATGAAGTAATGATCTAGGTCCTGCTGCTTCCATACTCATCTGTTGTAATACTTCCAACAGCTTGGTGCCTGAAGATAAGACCCTTAGAATTTACTAACCACACGTACATTGGTGATGGGCAAACAGCTCTTCCCGTACTTATTCCCTCCTCTGTCATAACAGGAACTTTTGCCACTACCCAGTCCCATTTCCTTGCTGGAATACAGACAGGAAACAAAGGAAGAATGGGTATTCCACCACCTCTTTCCTCTCCTGATCCATTCTACTCACAGGAAATGAACTTCAGCTCTCATTTAATCTAGAAAACCACGAGCAACCTTGCAGTGCAGCAGTTGCATTCCTCTGTGGCTTGCAGATTTGAGTAACAACAGTATCATAAATAGCTCTCATAACTTCTTTATATTATTGCAGGTACTTGACAAAGAAAGTTTCTCTACTCACTACCGGACAAGCATTTTATTCAAACACCCTTTTTTAAAAAAAGTGCATATCCTTTGAAAGAGCATTTCCATCTGGCACCTATCACATATTTCACATTAAAATTATTTTTTTCAGGATGACAATATTCAGTTTCACCTGCAACATTCTCAGTAGATCTTCCTTTCTGGGATAACACACCTATATGTGAAATATTGGGTCAGCAAGATTATTGAAGACATTAAAAAAAAAAAAAAAAGTTAAATAAAAGTATAGATAGTTACAGGTGTGGGCATTACTGAAGAAAAAAAAGAAGAGGCTGTTGCAAGAAATAATTCACAAGAGTAGTGACAAAAAACAAGTTACACGTTTAAAATTATGAAAGGGATGGGGAAAAGTACCTCCTGCTTATAAGTTCTTAATAAAATAAAGTAATAGTAATCAATTTAATTTGGTAATTTAAAGAAAAATATAAACCCACCTTAAAATCTCAGATTTATATTTACAAAACAATAAATATAGCAAAATGAGAATTAGTTCTCATCTATTCAAAACAACATGATTAACAGAGACATCAATCACTGAAAAAAATCCCTATTTTTCATAAGTGCTTGACAATGTTAATATCCAGTAATCACAGCTTGCAAGTACATTATTTCAAGGGATTTCTAACACATCACATACAATTTTTAAAAAAATCAAACCCAAAGTAAACCTGTATCATGTCTTATGAAGCTGCAGTGATTCTACAGTGATTGTTGATAGTTATGCACCAAAAGAGGCATAATCAAGCCTTACAATCCTGGAGAAAAGGGAAACACTGCTGCAGCCAGGAACCAATGTACATCTATACAAAGATAGGTCTGTGAAAGGATTTTTCTTAATGTCAGATTATGCATTTGCAGATGTAAAATAGATTATCTGCACAGCAGCGAAACACTACACCAAGGAACATGGAAAGCACTTATTCTGAGAAAACAGCCTTTGCAACACAGAAAAAGAACCAGGTCCGGCAAACGGACAGGATGCAATCTGCTAACTTCAAAACTGTACAACTGCACTAATTACTGGACACAATTCTGTACAACTCTTCTGTACAGAAGTAGCAGTTTCCTCAGCTGACATTTTTCCTAAAAGCACTAAAGCACTAGCCAATTTATGCTGAGCTGCATTACCATAATTAAAAATATACAAATGCAAGATTGTCGCTAGAAGTGTAAGTAATTAAACATGCATCCACAGAGAAGAGTGCAGAAGTTAGAGAACAGGACTCCTTAGTTTGAAACTGGATTCTTGCTCCTTCCCCAGCTCCCAGACAAAGTTGATCACAGGTCAAAATGCAAAGTGACAAACCTCAAAAACATGAGGACGCATTAGTGAATACAGACACAAAATTGCAGTGTTTTGAGACATAAGCCTCATATCTTTGTTCTGTTACAACCTCAGTACTGTCAGAAAGAACTACCATCCTTATGATCCACCTAGCAAGCAGTGAAGACCAACTTAAATTCCAGCTTCATTTCCCTAAAAGACACAACCTAAAGAAGAGTTAATACTTCTTCAAGCCTCTGTTAAAAAGCTTCCCTTTAGAATACTGCTATGGCAAAGACACTCATTCAGAAAAAGCAAGGGAGTTAAAGATCAACACTGCACAGCTGACATTTTGTTTCATTTAGTTTTTTTAAAGAAAGGTGACAAATACCAGAGTAGTTTATGAATTTATAATTTCATTCTGCAATTAAAACACACTAAGACAACAGTTCACTAGACACATCTAACTGAACCACATTAAACTTCCTAAATCTGTACCAACATTCATTTACTGTAACAATATGTAGTTAAACCTTTAAATCAAAGAAACTGTCTTTTTGCTGTTGTTTTAAAGTAGGGCAGACCACTGCCTGAACTGAGCTCACAAAACAAAATAAAAACATCTAAAAAGCAAAAGACCAGTATGTATAATGGTTCTTGACAGAGAAGAGACAGAAGATGGGAGAAGAAGCTGCCAAAGTCTCAACATGTGGCAGAAGAGAAAACCCCACTTGGGTTCCAAGTTTTGAAAAAGTAATGGGAAGGATTTCCAGAACCACTGAGAATAGGAATATTCCTTGCATATTCAATCCCTTCTCCACATTCAGCACACACCAAGGTCAAAAGCTGAGATTTAGCTCCTTTCTTAATAAGGATATCATAACTTGTTTTCAAAAAATTTCTAAGAGACGACTCTGGATGATATCACGGGAATGGATTTAAAATGCAGTAAGAGTATCACAATTAAATTACTGCAGTGGTCATGACAATACAGCTGATGCACAGGTAAACCATTCAAGATATTCTGCTTGTGATCCGTGACAATACAAAAAACCATAATTATATGAAGAAACCAAACCCCATCTCTTTCATCCACTGCCAGCTAGGCCCAAGACAGTGTCAGGACACAGAAAAAAATGCCCTCTCATTTGCTATACTTCATGTCTTCCCACAGGAACTGGTCTCTTCCTCCCCATTCTATTTCCTGTATACAGAACAAGCTTATTGTCACTAGGTGAAAACACACACACACAGAGATGCCACTGACTTACCAGCCAGCCTACACTGACACATATCTCCCTTTAGGCAGAGATATTACCTGCAGCCTCACAAACGTGAGAGCTGGTACTGTCCCTGCTCCAGGCCCAGAGGATCGCTGTGTACCAGCTCTGGCCACGCAGAGATCCAGCTCACCTAAGGAGACCTCCGGGACGCAGAAGGATGACAGCGACGCTAATGCTCACAGCGATCCTCTCCCCCTTCCCGGCTGTCAGCGGGGGGAGATCCTCGCAGCCCAGCCACCCCGTCCTCTCGCTCGCACGACGTCCCTCCTCCCTTCCCCCTAATCCCTCCTCCTCCTCCTCAACCGCGCTTAACCCTCAGGCCCCAGCCCCTCCTCGGCCGGCAGCTCCCTTTATGCCCCAGCCCCCCCGCAGCCCTCTCCGGCGGTCCGGCGGCGCTGGCTCCCCGCACCCCCCGCTCGGGACCCCATCCCCGCGGCGGGGAGCCGCTCGACCCCCTCGGGCCGCCCGGAAGGAGGCCGGGTCGGCACAGACCCCGCGGCCGGCCCGGCCCGGGGCCGCTGCCCGCCACCCCCGTGCCCCCGCAGCGGCCTCAGCCCCGCGGCTCACCAGGAGTAGGTCTGCTCCGCCATGGCTGCGGCTGGGCGGCCGGCCGGCCGGGCTGTGCGGGGCGGCCAGGCCCCGGGCTCCTCCTCCGCCTCCTCCTCCGCCTCCTCCTCCGCCTCGCAGGCTCCGGGGCTCAGTGGCGGCCCCGCTGCGGCTCCCGGCCCAACATGGCGGCGGCTGTGAGGAGGGAGGGGAGCGAAGGGGGGGTCCCCGCCCGGGCGGGGAGGGAATGGCGGAGAGGGCGATGGTGGTGGCGGGGAGGGCGGAGGCTCAGCAGCCGCGACGCAGGGCCGCGCTGGGGCGCCGGCTGGGCCTCATGGCCGGCGAGGCGGCGGCGGCGCGGGGCGGGGCGGGGGCGGGGAGGCGGCGGCACCGGGCGGCCAGGCCAGGCCGCGCCGCATCCCCGCGCTCGCGCACGGAGGGGGCGGGGCCGGGCCGGGGGCGGGGCGGCGCGCGGGGTCACGTGCCCACAACAGCCTCACGTGCCGCCGCCGCCGGGCTGCGCGCAGGCGCCGTGGGGCGAGGGGAGGAGGTTAGTTTATTGGTCCCGGCCGTCTGTACCGCCGCTGCTGAGGTTCGGGCGGGCGGACTCGCCCCGCTGCTCCCCGCGGTGGCAGCGGGCGGGACATCCGGAGCTTCCCCCGCCAGGAGAGCCGAGGGCGGGTTTTGGGGCTTTTTCGAGCTTCAGGCGGGGCAGCGTGAGGCCCGAACCGACGTTCCCTTTCTCGCAGCGAGCAGCGCCCCGCAACCCACCCGCGCCGGGGCGGGCACGGCCGCGGCTTCGCCCGCGGGGCCGGGGGCCAGGGCAGGCTCTTTAAAATATCCTGCCCGTGCGGAGTGGTCGCTGCCGCGGGCGGGTCCTCGCCTGGAGAAGCCGAGCGGGGGCCGAGCGCTGCGGGCACAGGCTCCCCCGGGCTGGTGGGTGCCGGGGCAGGGTGAGGGGGATCGCTCGGCTCCGGCCTCCGCGGCCGGGAGGGTCCCTCGGGTTGGGGTGCAGGCTGCGCCCCGGGGAGCCCCTGCCAAGGCGGGGAACCGGCTGCTCTCGCCGCTGTTGTGGCGCGTCCGTGACTCGCTGCCGTCTCGCAGGAGGACGGGACGCCCCGGCAGCGCCCCTGAGCTGCTGGTGTGGTGGGTTTTTCTCCTGAAGGGGAGGGTTAGGTGGGAAATGCAAAGGTCTGGTAAGATAATTCATAAAATCGAGCGCTTAAATTCACAGCGTGTTTCTGGAGATCGCGGTATCTTTGTTATCTTTTAAACAAAGCGAGTAGAATAAATAGAAACAAATGCTCAATTTTAAGGAAGGAAAATAACCTTCAAGATACTTTGACCAAACACAAACCACATCCTTCATGTTACTTATCACCAGCCCTGTATTAAAACGGAGCAAGCACCAGACGGAGAAACTGGGAGCCATTGATACTGGTCTTGTCTTCCTCACCCCTGGTTTCTTTGATACTGGCGCCAAATCTTCAGTCCTTGATTACGTTTCTGCCAAATGCAGAACTAGTGTCTTAAGTTTGCTCACTCAAGTAACCTTGCCTTCTGTTATTTCACTCGCAGCAGTTTGTCTGAGTGGGGCTTTGCAGGGTTTAGAGCAATTGTTCCAGTCCAGCTGTGCAGTCTCATACATTGTTCCTTTTAGTGTGGGAGAGAGAAGAGCCAGTTTTAACTTATGGTTGGAGGTGATGTAACTGCATTACGTACAAATAGAAGAACAATGTCTGGATCTGGTAAAAATATGTATTTGTTTAAAAAAAGAAAAAAAAAAAAAAGCATGGAGAAATTCTATGCCTTAATATAATTTTGCTAAATCTTCAGAAAATTAATGGGACATTGGGATATTCTGATTGCATCTACAGAGATGACAGATGCCTCTAAAATGGCATTTGGAGCCCACTCTAGTTTTATTTCTATCAGTGGATTGAATACATTATTTCTCTTTTGTCCATCTTGTTTATTCTTGTCAATAGAAAAAAAACTTAGGCTGGTATATACAGGACTAAAAGTAAGGAACGGCTCGTTTCTTCTCAGTTCTGTTACCAGTTTTTACCTGTGTAATCTTGGGTGGCTCGCTCAGTCTCTGCTAGCTCCATTCCTCTATCAATAAAGTGCAACATGTTCCAGCTACCCAAAGTTTTGGGGCCCTGCAGAAGGAAGATGCTGCCTGCGCAACGCAGCCTGACTTGGTCTCGGCAGAGGGAATGCCTGGGCTTGTGCTTCAGTTAAACAGTGCTTTTAGTAAGATAATGCTGGACTTTGAAGGCTTCTTCCCCCCATATGCCCGTGTCTTTATGCATTGATAAGTGATTGGAGTTGTCACACCTCAGCATCTAAATCCTCTCTGCTTTTCACAGCCCTTTGGCCTTGTGGACAGGGATAACCTTAGAGCTCCTGACATAATCAGCACACTTACTAAAATCTGCTTGAGAATCGGATTTATCAACTGAGGTAGAAACACTCAAAGTACCTGACTGGCTTACTGGGTTCCCTGCTGGGGTCAGTCATGGCAGTTAGGTATACTGGAAGGGTTAGATGGTGAGTAGGCTGGGCTACCTTGAAAAACATTCCCCCCTATTTGACCACGTAGCTCTTTGCCCTCCAACTTATACCCAGTACACAGTACTTGTGCCCATCTCAGCAGGTATGGAAAGCTTTAAGGGATATAGGCAAGGCAAGAGAGAGGAGTCATGATCAGAATCTTGAGCTGCGGGGTACACAGCCTGGTCAGTCAGTTTTGGTGGAAATTCTGGTGTTTCCACATACACACATCCCCTGTTAAAAGAAATGCCTAGGCTCTGGGTAGGACTTGCACAATGGAGACATTCCCTGCCTTTATTTTTCCTCAGCATAGCTGAAAAATCTATAGTAACAGACAAATAATTTTGAATCTTCTCTCTGCTGGGATGCCTGCTTACGTTCTCCTTTTCACTGATTATGATAGAGTAAATGCAAGAGAAAAAACCTCTCCAATCCTTTTAAATCAATGCAGGGAAAGATAAATCAGTGCTTCAGGCTCTTTAGTACCAAGAGAAGACTTTCTTATTTTTCCTATTTTCCCTGAGAATAGGATGTAAAACTGATATTGGTATCTATGAAACAATATCACTGCTTTGTGTCCTTATTGAAATAGCTTCCAATTCCTCAGTCTTGCAAAATTTCCAGTGCATTAATTTGGCACAAATGATTTATAGTTGATAAGCAATTAAAGTATAATTTTTTTCAGCATCTCAGGCTTTGTGACTAGACTACTAAATGATTTCGCAAGCTTGCTCTATCATTACAGGATAGCAGTGGGATGAATTCACAGGAGAAATTTATTCCTCCTTGCAGACCCAGCATCTGCTCTTACTGCAAATTGGAGCACTGCTTTCATTCCCCAGATAATTTTCTCACCATATCTTTTGTACAGTCTTTCTTTGGTCCCAGAAGAGAGCTTTACTCTGAATTTCAGTGACAGTTTACTCTGACATTACAAAGTCCTTCCAAAATACCTTTTTCTGTCTGGAACCTTTGATGTAGACTGATGCATTACTTAGACCTGTCAAGGTATTTCAAAACTATCAGCAAACAAAAATAAGCTGTTGGTATTTTTGTTTGTTTGTTTGTTTGTTTTTTTCCTTTCTTTTTATGTTTGGAAGGATAGCTCCCAGAGGCAAGTGTGGTAGAGAAAAGTCAGATGAAAGTACTGGCTACAAAGACTCCTCACCTCCAAATTGCTTAAATGTCATTAGATGACATTTAGCTAACCGTGTCTTGATTCTGCTATAAGGGAAGTGGAAAGAGAACCAGAGTAGCTTCATGTAGACACTTCACCTTTCAGGAAAGGACATGACAGGTAGAGCTGTCAACCCTGCTTGGTTTGCAGAGGGACAAATAGCATGGAAATGAGCAGAAAGGGAAGGAAAAGAAAAAAAAAAATCAGGAGATACAGTTTTGACAATCTAGCTCAGAGCTATGGCACGCTATTCTATTTGTAAGATCCTTGTGGGATTCCCCTTGAGAAAAAGAAAGTGTGCACTGACCAGTATGTAGGACACGATTCTCTTCACTACCACCTAGTGGGAAACTCCTTTACTAACTGAACTCCAGAGCTGCTCCTGCTCTCCAACGTCATCCTCACCCTGATGGTAGAAACAGTGAGTAAGTGAAGGGGGAACAGATGGATGACTGGGAAAAAGGACACGGTCCTGTTTCCCCATACAGAAAGAGGAATAGGGGGTGCAGAGGGAGCACGCCTATAATTTAAATCCATTATGCCCTATGGCGTTATCACACCATGTCTTCTAGCTCTGTACCCAGGCCAGTTCTTAATGGTTGTTAGGCCTTAGCCTCAGTTTAACTGAGACTCCCAAAGCTTAACAAATGTTGTCTTTGGAGATAGAGTAAAACAGTTGTTCTTCTGAATGCAACTGAATCCTGCAAACAGTGGTAAGGAGAAACTTGGGAAGTTACTCCAGTGTCTCAGTCAAAAGGTAGCCCTGTACCCTTCTTGGCTCTGAAAGCTTACATTGCTCTGCTTCTGATTGTACTACTGAAAGTACAGAAGGAGGCACCAAATGAAAAAAACAGCTCTCCTCTGTAAAATCACATTTTTGGTTATAATCACATCTTTACAACAGAGACTACTAAATTAAAACACAAATGGGGGATATACTTGGAACATTAAAGCTATGTATTCAAGTGAGTCCTTTCCCACTGAGATACTCAGGGTTTGCACAAATAGCTGAAATCCAACCCTATGAAAACAACATATAAATGACAATTATCTCAGATTTTTCACACTCCTATGTACTATTTGTGACTAAGCTCCCAATGCACAAATAATTATCAGTTTTGGTACTTGAATAGGTTTTTTTTCCCCAACCATAGAAAGAAGGGTGAACATTATAATAATAGGTCTCACATTTCAAAGAGGGGATGATGTTAATGTCATTCAGGCCAATAAAGCATTTAGCAGTCTCAGCAGGAAGAACAGTAAAATGGTAAAGCATTATTAAAAGAACCATTTCTCTGTGTTTCTTTTGCTAATGGCAATTTTACCACCATATACAGGCTCCCTCTGCTAGCATTTTTACCATAAATATATTTAGTGGTTTTTTCCTTCTCTGTATGCTCCTTGAAGCCACATTACATTGGCTTTATCCCAGAAAATTACTATATTTTTCATCACGTACACTTAATAATGGATGTAATTCATGAAATGAAAACATCAAAGGTAAAAATGGTGTTGATACAAGAAGTCAGGTTTTGGGAGTCTATTTTGCCTTCTATTCTGTTCACAAGACTCTGCTGTTCATTACTTTGGTTTTGCCCTTGTGTAATAAGCAGAATACAGACCAGTAAGTCTAAAATAAGAATAATGTTCCTATTGTGTGCCCATTTATACTTTCATGCAGTCATTCTCAATGTTAAGTATTCCAGTTAATTAGTAATTCAACTTCTTTATTACATGTATGGGAGAAGGGATTACATTAGAACAGTTAATCAAGACAGACTATTATTTACCACTAAAATAGAAATCCATTAGAGGAACCCAAGACATCCTTGCCTGGAAGGATATTGGAAAATGACAGGAACCCAGTTTTAGGAGATAGCTTTCGCACAGTGGTATCAGACTGTCTGCTGCTTCAGAAGAAAACAAGAAAATAATGTAAAAAAAAAAAAAAAGCACAGAAGTTGTATTTAAGCATAAGTAGGACAATGCAAAGTAGTTGAACATGTTTAAATAATCTTTATTAAATTTGCCATTAAAATAAAATAGAAATCAGACTACTTGTGATTACTAATTGATACGTTTCTCCAATCTGCATCCAAACTGATCTGTTAATGCAACATTGTTCCTGAGCCTGCTATTAAGCTGACCTTATAATGTTGTAAGTCATCTTATGTCTTGTCAATGAAGCACTGAATTTGAGGGGTCTCAACTACCATATTAGTTATGCCTAAGGAAAAACAAGCAGTTATGCAGGAAAAAAAATAATACAAAAACAGATACTACAAACATAAGAAAAACAAGCAGGTACCACTTGGTGTCTTCAAACTTCAAAAGGTTCCCCTATCACAGTTACCAAGATCCCATTAGGCAGGGTGACTTGAGAATAAAGTCATGGCCCATTAAATTGTTGCAATTAAGGAAATCAAAGTATACTAAGCATTGGTAGTAGATGAAAATGGGTATAGCAAAACCAAGACCTTTTGTTTTGAGTATTCATTCTCAAGGCAAAAATCCTTGAGTACAATTCAGTTACAGGAGAACGTTGTCTGGATTATGGCACTGCAATTTAGCTCTTGTTCTGCTACTAAAACTATAATCTAGTTGGTTAATCTTTGTAGCTTCCACCCTCAATCTCTGCTATTCTTACTACCTCACAACTGCATATTGTGGTACTTGTAATAACCTGAGGAATATGATATTGCAATTCTTAGTGCTAGGGTATAAAATAGGGGATATGGCTAATTTGCAGCTGGAGACTCTTTCCTGCTTCCCAAATGTTCAGCCTGTCTGCTATCAATTTATAACATTTAAGAAATGTTGAAAAGCTTGCTTGTTTTCCTGCACTGAAGAATCCAAAATACTTAATGGAGTGCTGAACCATTCATTAGCACAGTCTGGCAGGTTACAGTGAATGTAAAGTTGACAGCATAGAAGTTTACTTCTTTTGTTAATCATCCAGAATTCTACAGTTTAAAATGGACAATTCTAATAGACCAAGATAAAAAGTCATTCAGGATAAAGTGAAAGAGAATATTTACCTCCTCCTCAGTATTTGGAAGGTTTCCATAATCAATTAAGGATTTTCCACATGACATCCAGTTGTAGCATTCAGTAAGGTCCTAACTGGGTGCCATAATGAACAGATGTTCATTTCTTGTTTTATAGACTTCAAAGTTCAGTGTTTCCAAGACAGGCTGTTTTAAAAGCCCCTTCTGCTAAAGGTCTTCAAGACAAGCAGAAGCAGCAGCAACAGGACATCTGGGTGCATAAGAAATCCTTGAAACCACACAATATAGACAGATAATTTGTTGCTCTGTTTTCTTCTCTTTACAGTTTCCCTTGACAAATATTGCTGTTCCTTGTCTAAACTTAATGGTCTGTGGCCCATCCCCCCTCAAGCATTCAACAGATATATATACTTACAGAACACAGATGGAACAATCTTTTAAACAAGAAGAGCGGTAGTATTTTCCATCTTAGTTTAGGCAAAAGAAATCACAATACCAAAAGACAAAGTTACACAATATGACAGAATCTTCTCTGTCACATATTTCAGGAGGCCCTTTGTCTTTGCAAAGTCCTTGAATTATAAAGACGTATCATGCAGAAATTGTATCATGGTTGGATACTGTAATTACAATTGACAACTACTGTTATTGGCTGCCATTGTTGGCATGTCTACGAGGGGGGGGTGTGCAGGAAATTAGGAAAACTATAATAAAAAAATAAGACGCATGGAAATTGTATCAAAACATTGATAGAACACCACCAAAAAAGCTCACCATTCTTTAAATACTCTTTACCAAGTGTATGGAAAACAAAAATCTTTAGAAACTAATGATGTCATTTTACATTAATGTTCACATGAAAATTTCTTACATTACGTTTTCACACAGACTCCAATTTGTTACTTCTTTTTAGCCACACAAAGAGAGTCTTCTGTATCCATCTGAGCTTTTTTTAACTCACTGCAGCAAGGGCACCTGGTACTCTGGGTGCAGACGCCATCTGAAACAAAAGCTAACAGTTAACAGCAGTCCTGGTTGAAAGGGTCAGCACAGCAGCCCGACCACAGCTTGCTGTGCTTGGAGGGAGGAGGGGGTCCTATCTGCAAAAGAGCTCTGTCCTTCAGCTGCTGACTTAGCACGTTGCTGCAGGAACCTGGAGAGCATGGCTAATAGTGCCCACAAAAGGAGAACAGGGGCCAAGGTCACTCTGCAGCATTGTCTCGGGACATTACCCAGTTTGGGGACAGTCCTACTAGGCTCCTCTCAGCTTAGGCTTGATAGGAGTGTATAAAGAGAGACAGGAAGCTGCCCCTAGGAAACCTACACTGAGACAACAGTTTTAAATCCTTCTCGTGTTGATCACACAAGGCATCATTTGCATGACATGCTGGCACATCAAATCCACTTGTGCACGTGAAGTTATTCCCTAATCTAGCCATTCAAACTAGATAGATTAATTCATATGTTTTCAGACCAGAAAAGACAATTTAGTCATAAGGACTCCCTGAGAACTGCACTAAGCGGCTCCAGCTGAGCTAGTGAGCATGTTTTGGGAAGTCACCCAACAGGTGGGAGGAAAACCTTAGAGCAGGGCTGGTGTCAAGAAGGGATGGGGGTAGGTGATAAATGGGGACCACAAGCCTGCCCGGAGCACTCCTCAGAAGAAACAGGGCAGTTGATGATAGGGCAGGGACTTTCAACATGAACCAACACCCAGGGCTATTCCTTATCGTATGCTTGAATCACAAACTCAGTGGGGCAAGCCCTGTAATCCCCCGAATTATGTGGGTACACTGATCCTGCTCATTGCTTAAGCAAGAAATATAGCAAGTTATAATGGAGTCGCTAGTATTTGCATATCAAGATACCCAGCAAGCCAAAGCCAGAAGTGAAAACGTCATTTAACGCTTGATGCTCCACCACATAAGTCAGCTGGAGCTCCTGAACATCCTGTGAGTCTTGGGAACATTCATATAAACCTAGTCACACTTCTCTGCTGGGGGTTTGCGCAAAGGCTAGTGGAGCTTCCAGTGTGGCTTTCTCTCAGCCCCAAGCCTTTGGCAGGGGCTGGGACTGGCTGAACCTCACCACTGCCAGATCTCTGAGCGGGCTCTGCAGTCTTCCAACGGCAGCACCTTCTCCTGAACCACGCGCAGTGAAACGCACCTCTTCCTTTCGGGTACTCCATCTCCTTCCTTCTCTAAAACTAATGGGGCCAGAAATAAGACACACTTCTCCATCCTCATTTTCCTAGTTTTCTTTCCATAGCTTACATTTCTCTTCCATGCTGCAGATGTTCTATCCCCTCATTTTACTCTTTCTCTCTTCTGTTTCCCTCCCTCTCCCCCTCCCCCTGCTTTCTCTCCCTCTGCACTTTGTGAACTGCTGCTGCAGTGCTGAAGTCCAAAGTTCAGTAACTTGCTAAGCACACAGATAAATATGAACCTTGGAGAATTTACATTGCTCCAATGTAAACAGATAGCCAAGGGTCCCTTTATCAGCACTGGCTCAGGACAGTCGTGGGGGGTCTGAAGTGGCTCAATTTTGTATTTTGGGTTTTTTGTGTTTTTTTTTTTTTGGGGGGGGGGGTGGGGGGGGTGCGTAAAGGCGGGAGGCTGTGCTGTGCCCACTCTCCTGACAGTCGGGCGTGTTACCTCAGGAACATGGTGTAGGGAAGCTGGAAGCAGGATAACCTGAAATTCAAATCCAAGAGACACCAGCCCGAAGACCATGGTCTCGAAGCTGAGTCACCTTCAAGTGGAGCTGCTGGGAGCGCTGCTGGAGTCAGGGCTAACCAAGGAGACCCTGATCAAGGCGCTGAGCGAAGTGGAACCCTACGTGCTCCAGAGTGAAAGTCAGCGCGCTATCAATGCCCTCCAGACAGAGAAAGGGGAACCCTGTCCTGACATCCCCAACCTCCCCAATGGAATGGGGGAGTCCAGGTTATCGGAAGATGAAACCTCTGATGATGGGGAGGAATTTACTCCTCCAATAATGAAGGAGCTGGAAAACTTGAGCCCCGAGGAGGCTGCTCACCAGAAGGCTGTGGTGGAAAGACTATTACAGTAAGGACAGATTTGCTTTTCCTCTTTGCTGCTTTCTTGCACTCTCCCTCTAAATCTCTCTTCCTTTCCCCTTCTGCTCAGTGTCCCTGGTATTCACAGTTGATCTAGCTGCACAGAGACAGTCTTCATCCATGCCAGGACTAGCAGCCCCAAAACACCCGCAAGTTCTTTATAAATGCTCAAATTTTCCTTTCATCTCACTTAAAATGCACGAAGGGAGCCATGGAGCCTGATTACATATTTGATGTGCTTATATCACCAGGCTTCAGAATAGTCTGAGGCCTGTGTAACTTGCATCTCTCTGAATGTTAGGTTTTAGGATTTAAATTTTGAATAGGATTCACAATTTCAGTCATCAGGAAAGAAAAAAAAAAAATTTAAAAAATCTGGTCACTCTTAATGGGTGCTCTATTTGCTTGAGGATGTACGGTAAAGTTGTAATGTTTCCCTGCTATATTTAAAGAGATCAATATTGTTAATTTCACTGGGGTTTGCTACAGTTTATTGGCCAAAGACAAATCAAAAGAACTTGTTCTTGTCATTCTTGTGAGTGCAAAGTTCTCCTGACTTCAGTGGAGATTTCTCTTGTAGAAAGAGCATGCAGAGGTAAAACATGGGCAGAACACTCTGCTTCTACCATCCACTGCCTGTCACAACTACAAAGTACATACGCAGCAACAGTTACAGGTTTTACTGCCACACAAATTTGCCTTTGAATACAAGCATTTTTGAAATTCAAAGACAGAAAAAGTTCCCTGAACCAAAAAGCCTCATGATAGACTCAGAGAAACATTCACCAGGATTCCCATTTGGGATTCTTGCTGAGACATAATTCCCATGGGTGACCTAAGAGGTTTGTCCAAGCAAGGATCAGGTCCATCCAACCTGTCTATCAACAGAACCAGATTTTTGCCCATCTGTTTTGGGGTTATTTTGAAATGACAAGCTGATAGAAGACAAAAAGATGCAGCAACATCCTGTACTTAAAATCTTCACTAAGACTAAAATCCATCTAGAGAATCCCTCAGGCTTTCTGATCACTCCTTTTCATACGCAAAGTAAATTAACATAAAATGTAACAACAGGAAGCAAACATCAAATCCCACCATAAAAGGCCACAGCTAGAAAAACAGCATGACAAGAATTAGTGTTCACTGTAGATACCGAGAAGAAAGGTCCCTGGCAGATTGGCACTCAATGACTCTGCAGGAGCCAACAGAGGAAAATTCACTGGATCAGCTCTTACCTGGGTAGGGAAAGCATTCCCAATAATTCAGTCTTCTTTCTGGCTCAGTACATTTCCAATCTCTTCCCCACTTCCCGCCCTGTCACATCTTTTAGTTTCCTCTGTTCCCTTTACCTCTTCCATTCTTTTTACATACCTCCCTTCTCACTTTTGTCTCTGCTGCTATTCCTCCCATTTTGTTGTCATCTCAGCTAATTCTCTCTCTCCCTTCCACTCTTTTTCTTCCCCTCATCCTTGTCTCCTTCTCATCTTCCTGAGTCTGCGTACAGGTCTTGGGGTAGATTGAGCCCAGTGGCACCGGGCGGGCCCTGGCTAGTTACTAATTATCCAATGGCTTTATTATTTCTCTTTTGTCTTATAAATTTATAGATGAAAAGACCCTGATAAGCTTTTTGATCATTAACTTCTGATGGTTTATCAGGTATCTCTCCACAAGGGAAGCCATGAAAGTTAAAGAAGAGCACCTGGCTTCATCCCATTTTCTGTAATGAATGGGTGAAGCAGGACTGAAGTGCCATCCGCTGTGATCTAAGAACAGACACATGGATGGAAGGAATTCCTTCCTGCCACCCTTACTTCAGCATGAATTCTGGCTTCTGATCCTCCCTGCCTTTCTAAGAGCATGCTACCAGTCTTTCTTGTGCTTACTACCAGCCTCAGCACAAGAGTCTTACCTCTCTTGCAAACCTGCGATATTAATGCTTTCCGATGAACAGTCTCCCACCTCCCTCCAGACAGTCAGTTGAGCAGCATTCCCACTTTACCAATGGGAACTGAGGTACAGAGAGATTCTATGACCTACCTAAAGCCCTAAGATAGCACAGAGAGACCTGGGCAAGAACAAGGATCTCCTAAGCCTCATGCTGGGTCTTAACTGTCAATCTTTATTCTGAAACATCAGTTCCTTGTATCACAGGATAGAGCAATTAACTTCTACTGTCGAGGACAGTATGAGGGGACCAGAAGCCTCAGTTTCAGCAAAAAATTATGAGTATACTTATGGAGGAATATAATAGATCAAAATTAGTCAAGGTAAAATGAAAATTGTAGGAAGTCTGCATTGCCATGTTTCAAATTTCTGGTTGAAGATAAAACAAGCAACGGTATGTCTGCAAACCTATTCAAAGCATCTGAAGCAGTATCAAGGTTTGATAATATGTAAGCGGTTGTTACCTACTAATAAACGTTTTTTGGTTTTAAGAACAAACCTTTAGATGCCTTAAGGTAATGTCCTTAAAATAGTATTAAAAGTATTGTAAGACAGGGCAGAACAGTCTATAATAGAATCACTCTTAGCAATAGATAAAAGGCAGGCAGGCAAGAATCTCCATGCCCAGGACAGTAAAATGCCAATGCTTGCAAAGCTACTTCAGCATCTACACAAGGATTTCAAATCCAGAAACCAGATGGAGGCACTTGCAGAAGCCTCTTTGGGCATTATTAACAATTCCTAGTCTAATACTGTAGATCACATTTTAACAGAGAGATTGACTTGTGGGCAGCTATTAGTGATACAAGAAAGCCTTTGTGGTAATTGCAGCCATTGCTTTTAAAGTAGAACCAGGAAAGTGTCCATTGCTAGGCTTTCCAGGAACTGGAAAGGAAAAAAACGACAGCACCAAGAGACCGACTATGTCCTCACAGGACCAGTGAAGTTGAAACCAGAGTTTGGAAAGCACTAGTCCATGCTAAGTAAAACAGGATGTAGAAAAGATACACCCACATGACTGGGTGCACCTGTGGGCATTGATTAGATTTTGACCCTACAGAAAAAAATGCTAAAGGCATTTCAGACAAAGGTTTCTCTATTGAGAAATTAACATCATTTCATTTTGTCCCTTAATTTGTCTCACTGGCCTTCCATAAATTTACAGTTTGAATAACAACATTCTTTCCAGATCACTCCACACAGAAAACAAATTGCTTCTATGATAAAAAATAAATAACTCAGTAGGGAAATGGAGCTGTGTGGAGTAATTCCCAGATAGTCCCAGAGTAGAAAGCAAGAGAGAGGCTATCTTGGGGGATGGGACAGATCACACTACCACAGGTATAGCAAGTGGAGAGAGGTATAGCAATAATTCACCTGTAGGGCAAGGGGTGACATTCCATTAGGAAAGACAGAAATTGAGATAAGCAACAGATATCCCCTGGAGGCAGGGATAAAAGCATGTTTTCCAAGAGGAGAAAAAAAAATAAAGATATAATGATAAAGGTTCAGTTTTTCCCCATGTTAGTAGTGTCTTAGAATGGCTCTAACTGGGAAATCTGGAGATGAAGCTGCCACACCCCTTTCATTTCCACATATAAACCAAGATGAGGCAAACCAGGCCAAGTTCAATAGAAAGGAACCCTGCCGGGATGGTCTTACCTTCCCTGCTCTCTGCCTAGCCCGGCTCCAGGCTGTGCACTGACATCAGTGAGGGTTGTCTAGCAGGCTCCAGAGGAAAGGGCCAGAGGATGGTCCAGCTCTGAACCTCTCTTTAAAGCAAGGTCTGGTCCAAAGCAGCAATTCAGAACCCACCTCAGGGAAATGAAGGCTTCTCTCGCCTGAGAACAAGAAAGAAGGAAAGACAGAGAAAATGAGGAAGAGGAGGGGAAGGAAAAGAACAAGGGGAAAAGAGAAAAGTCAGGAAGACTGAAGGAGGGAGAAGGTCCCCTGAATGTTACATCTCCAGCTCTCTGGAATGGGTTTTCTTTAATGCTAACAACTTGATATTTACTTTCCATTTAAATTTGAGATGTTGCTATAAATTATCAACCAGCCTCTTGTTCCCTTTGAGTTTATAACTAACTACCTGGGTTACTTATTGTTCAGGTAACAAAAGGGAGGTGAAAACGCCCTTAAAAAGTGACCTCAGAACTAAGAAAATGGGACGCTGGCATGGAGAGAGGACCAGGCCCCTGTGGTTGAGATGAGCCCGGAAGAGGGGCTATGCTCAGACAGCGATAAGCAACTGACAGCAGGAGAGCAAGACTTAAGAAGGAAGTAAAAACTGTGTGAGAAGAATGTGGAGACAGAGATTAGACCTTAAAGAACAAGAGAGAAATAGGGAGACAGCTTCCATCTGGGGAGAAAAGGAAGCTAAAAAGCAGAAAATAGGCCTGGAGGTAGAGGAGGAGAGCTTGAGCAAGGCGGACCCATTTCTGCAGTTCTGACTCACTGAAGCAACTGAGATGTCAGTGTAACTACAAACAGGAGAACTAGGTTTAGGGTAAGATCCTACCCTCTGACAGTCAGTGACAGTCTTACCACCACTGAAAGAGCAAAGGTTTCAATTTATGATGTCTTAGTCAATGGTGAAGGCTCTGCAGGTAGAACTATGTATTTGAGCAATGGTTCATGCCAGGGTTCAGCTGACCAACTGCCATCACTTGTTCTGTGATATAGCCTTGGGCCTAAAGGAATTGCTGCACTATCATTACAGCAATGTGCTTTGACAATGTACATAGTAGCTAGGATTTCATGCAACTGTCCTGTGAAATCATACTGTACTAAGATTCCCCTGCACTGTTTTGCCTCACAAAGCTCCCTGTTTTGTCACAAAATATGACAGAAAAACCATAGGGCTTTAACCACTGTGAGAAAAGACTCCTATAGATACTTTCTGCTTTATTCCTACCACAAAGAAGTGAGAATCTTGAGAGAATCTTGACAGGGGAGACATAAGTGACTGATGATTGGGGTGCAGGATGGAAATTCCATCAGTGGTAACACAGTCCTTCCTCTTCCCATCTGAGCCAGAACTCAAATCTAAGAGATCAGAGGTTCCAAGTCAGAGCCTTTTCTCCTTTGTATAGGGACTTGTATGCTGGCTAGACTATCACACATACAGAGGGAGGAGATTGGTCCTTGGTTTGAACAGCATAAAAAGAAGAAAGAAAAGCACACTAAGGGACGAAAAGCTTTCATATGTTCAGCCCAATTTGAGGCTTTTGAAAAACAAAGATGATTAAGGAAATAAGTTAGAAAACAGAAGCCTCTATAGCAAGCATCCCATCATAAGAGAAAAAAATGTTCCTATTTTAAGAAAGCAGGTTATTCAGAAAGCTGTAACTGACACCGTTTCTGTCACACTTTAACTGCAGCAAAGCTTGCTCCTTGGACTATCCAGCCACTGGGAGAGAGGCAGCAGGGGAACAGAGATAAGGGTGTTTGTACTGAGAGAACAGGTGTGGACTTTGTCCTCCTTATCACTTTGCAGCCTCTGGTAACCTCCTGAATCAACAAAGCAATGAACAGTACAGTTGTTGCCTGTTGCTCAGATGTGTGTGTTCTTGTGACAGTTTCTGCACAATCCTAGGTACCTTTTTCCCCCGCCATTGCTCCTTTGATGACAATGTGGGATGTGACACCAGTTTATTTCTACAGCATGCAAACCGTTTCCACCAGACATTCCACATAGAAAGCACATAAGGATGCTCTGTTAAAAATTAACCAGAAGCTTTTCTGTAGAGAGGCTCCTGCGCTGTTTGAATCTAGACTGCCTGGTTTCACATCTTTATTTTTACCGTCATTTTCAGCTCTGGTGAAATCAATATGCACAACAAAGTCACAGTCATGTTTTCTCTATTTTCTTTAGGAACCTTCAAGGATATTCTACTTGGAGATCCTAAAAAAAGACATTCACATTCATTATGAAATCCCAAATCAGATTAGCTTCTCAAGTTTTGTGAGTAGGTCTCAAATAGGTCTATTCCCTCAGCTGTTACCCTAAAGTAACAGTGATAGGAGGACTGGTGGTTTGCCTGTTGTTCTTCATTGCATTTAGAAGCTTTGAGTGGATCTAGATGTGAATCAGTGTGTTTGAATAACACGTAGCAGATGTGCAAGAACATAATCCTGGATGGTTTGGTGTATACATATGCCTACATAGCTGTCATGTCACAGTATAATGACAGCCTATTTTCATTTCCTGAATCATTGCAAGGCAACTCAGCCTGGACCAGAATCAGGGCATGAGCTAGGTTCAGCCTAGTGTCACAGTGAATTTGTCCTGGAAATTTAAGCACACCTACCTGAAGCACCTATGCCTTAAAGAAAGGGGGACAGAGAAAAAGAGTTAAATCTGGAAAGGGAAGAGAGAGGTCTACTCTGAAAAAGAAATCTGCAGTCATAAAACATCCAACTGAATACTGAAATGCAATATCACTTCCCTTCTCATACCATTTCTCACTAGCAGCAAAAATGTTTTATATTCACATTACTTTCCAGCAGAAAGGTCCATTCCTTGCTTATGTCACTGGTCAGCACTTTGTCATATACAGATGACAACTGCCTAGACAGAACAGCCCAAAATCTTGGATACAAATGAGCACAGGCAGCAAAGACTATGGCCATGCTTTGGGAAATTCCCTTGATAACCAAATCCCCCCATCCAAGGGGAGATCAAAGTGCCTGCAGAGAACAGTTTCAAGGAATCTAGTGCTGTATCTTTTCCACTTTATTTCTAACACTGTGCAGTTTTTACCCTGAATGCAGATTCAAACTGAACAAGGTACCACACTGAGGAACAGCTTTCAGTTCAGTCAGTTAACACACTGTTCTCACCAAAAGCGATGGTGATGACTGACGTGCAAAGTGCACTTCAGGAGGTACTAGTGCACTTCCTTGGAATCTGGGTCTGAAGAGTGCAGGTGTTCGACCTCTCCTGAAAACTGTTTTCTGCTTCTTTCAGAGAAGATCCTTGGCGAGTAGCAAAGATGGTAAAATCCTACCTCCAGCAGCACAATATCCCTCAGCGTGAGGTGGTTGACACTACTGGTCTGAACCAATCTCACCTCTCACAACACCTCAACAAGGGCACTCCCATGAAGACCCAAAAAAGGGCAGCCCTCTACACCTGGTATGTCCGTAAGCAGCGAGAAGTAGCCCAGCGTAAGTATGGCAACAACTGTTCTCCCATCTCAATTTTATAACAGCCTCTGCTCTCCATTGCTAATCCTTACTGCCTTTTAGCAGGAAGCTTAGAGAAGTCTAGGTCAGTATTCAATGCTGAGGTGATCCAAACAGTACCTGGAAAAACACTCCCTTGTGAAGCAGCCTGCAGCCACCCACCCCACCCTCCGTTTGACTAAAGAGAAGCAAACTAATACTCCCCATTTGCAATTACAATTCTACACCCATCCTCAGACTGAAGTAGTGTAGTGGACAGATGACTGAGACAGAATTTCTGCCCGAGAATGACACTTTCACAGTTTCAGCTAAAGCAACAGTTCCTCTAGCTGCAAAAAGCAGCAGGCTGCTGCACTCACTGCAAAAAAACACTGTGGGCTATTGCCTCATGTGAAAAAACACTGTGGGTTAACTGCCTCAAACCCTCTAAACCCCTTCGTTACAGTCACCCATGGGAACCCATCCCTGCAGCATTCACTTCTGCATTCATGAGCCTGTCTGAAATCTGTCTTAATTTTGTATTGGTGGGTTACAAGTAAAATGAGACATTTGGCCTTTGGATGATTTTGGAAAGCAGGACTCCAGTCATAGTTACTCTAAATTCATCTGCATTTGCTTTCACTACTCCAAGGTGGGAGCAGAGACGCAATGCATGCAAGAGAAAGGCCAAATAAATACAGTCCTGCTAGGAACATCTTAACAGTTCTAGCAGATTATGAAATTTTATTTCCACCCCATTTAGATTCAACCTTCCATCTTGTATGAAATATTCTCCAAGAGTAAGCTGCAGTGGGCATGTTAGGCACCCAAATAGACAACTACTGGAAATGCTTCCAGAAAGCAAACTCCCTTTCCCCCTTGTGCCTGCAGAATTCACACATGCGGGCCAGGGTATCCTGACAGAGGAGCCCATGGGAGATGACCTGCCCACCAAGAAGGGAAGAAGAAATCGCTTTAAGTGGGGTCCTGCCTCACAACAGATCCTGTTCCAAGCCTATGAGAGACAGAAAAACCCAAGTAAAGAAGAGAGAGAGGCACTGGTGGAAGAGTGCAACAGGTAAAAATGGGTGTCTGGCTTTGAGGAAGATGGGCACGGCAGGACTTCTGTCTTCTTAGTGTTTGCTAGTGCCTATGAGAGGCAAACTAACGGTACAGCAGTGGATGTCACTGCTGACACCAGCCATGTTTGAATGAAATGCCACAGCTGAGCATTCACTGCCCACAAAGGATCAGTAACGCCTCCTATGTCTTGTTATACCTGTCTGGATCCTTCCACACAGTGTGCCAGACCACAGGCACTTTGGGGCTGAGCATGTACTCAGTCTCCCTGATTAAGCCTGGCTCAGCAAGGCTCTTCTTGTGCTTTCCCCCAACAGAGCAGAGTGTATTCAGAGAGGTGTTTCCCCATCTCAGGCCCAGGGCTTGGGCTCAAACCTGGTGACAGAGGTCAGAGTTTACAACTGGTTTGCCAACCGCAGGAAGGAGGAGGCTTTCCGGCACAAGCTGGCCATGGACACTTTCAGCGGACCACAGCCCACCTCCGCTCCCCCTCTAACTCCTCACAACTCTTCCTCCCTCCAGCCACCATCTGCTCTCTCACCCAGCAAAGTTCACGGTAAGAAACAACCAGAGAGATATCTGAAAGAGGCATGGGTGAACCTACCCAAACTCAGTCACTGAACCTATCTCCCAAGTCCACCCCTTTAAGAGGTGAATCTACAGATAGAAAAAGCAGACTTGCTACAAGGGAAGAGCACTTTTGACAAAGAGACCGTATCTCTGAGTGAGGAGAGTGGCTGGAACAGCAACAGTGACAAAGTTCACTAACAAAACTTTTGGCCAAATCTCCTCACTTACTCTTTTGACATCCTGTACTCCCTCACAGCTGGCAGGCAGTAATTCCCTTTCAAGCAGTCATCCACTGGCTGCCATCACAAGTCAGTTCTGTAACCTTTCACTCAAGTGTGTACCTCCTACTCTTTCCAAAACATGTCAGCACTATCAGACTCCGTGACTGAGTTTTCAGGCATCAAAAAAGGTAATTCTCCATCCCAAAAAAGCAGATCTTTTTCAGCTTCATAGGCCAGAGATGGTAATTGCTCTCACCCTGGGAAGAGATGGCCTTGCTGAGACTCTCTTCTCTCTAAACCCACACACAAAAGGGTGGTTTCTAGTGAACCCTGCTTGCTCCCTGCAGCACGTACAGCCATATTTTAAAGTCAGTATTTGAGGAAGCAGTTGTACCAAGTTACAGGGGAAAGCCAGGGCAGGGTGACAAGAATGCCTGTTCTCCTGGTTCCCCTACCACCTACCTTGTCTCTGCCTCAAATATCTAAAAGCAAGTGCCTACAAAGGAAACTGAATTTAGTACTTGCCAAAGTTACTCAGTTTCTCATTTTTGACAACCAGTTTCCCTCGTGTTGTGATGCAGGAGTGAGGTACAACCAGCAGCCAGCCAGCGAGGCAGAGTCCTCCACCAGCAACCACCATGGCAACAACTCTATGGTCACCACCCAAACCATCCTGCATCAGGTTTCTCCCCCTGGACTGGAACCAAGCCAGAACCTACTGAGCACAGACACTAAGCTGGTAAGTGATGTATACGCAAGTTCTGGTGACTGGAGGACATCAGGTCCTCTGCCTGTGGTCACAGTATGGACTATTCAGTAGTTTTTCCTAGAATACTCTTAAAACCACCTTCTTATAGAGATATATTACATAGCCACTTTGCATTGACCAGGTAACCTAAGCAGTCCTGATATACATGTGCCCTCTAGACTGCTGGTGAGGGCAGGTATTATAGCATGAAAGCAAGAAATGTACTGGTTATCTAGATTGTAGCAATCTGCTTTCTCAAAGCAAACTTCCTTTTGAGATTTGACTACATCTTTTCCCACATAATTAGCAACAAAGCACTAGAACTACATGACTGATCATTTTCAGTTTGCACATATTCCCTTGCTTACAGGGAATCAGTCAGCAGAAGTTTGCATTAGTGCATACTGTCCTGAGGCAAAGTTAAATTCACTATAAAAGAGTATGATTTAAATCTCCTCAGTCACTCACTCTGCTAGCTTTCTGGTCTCTTCCTGAAGGAAAAAAATCTTCCATGAAGTGCTGAGAATCTACAGCTGTCTTCTAAAATGGATATCAAGGTGATTTGTCCCACTGTTTATCCTGTTAGTGCTTATTCTTACTAAATATTCCTTACAGCATTTGTCTGAGGAAAAAAAAAATAAGTATAACACAAAGCATTGAACTTTCTCCATCAGCCAAATGACTAAAATGCTTTTTTGATGTTCCACAGTATTTCAACTACAGATCTCTATAAGGCCTTGCAAACTCAGAATCCCATTAGAGCATAGACACAGGTTATGTGGTTCATTTTAGAGGCTGAGAAAACAGTCAAGTTATTAAATTTCTTAGTGACTCAATGACAGACTGAATCAGCAAGACACACAAGCACATAAGAGTTCTGTTCTAGCAGGTAGTTTTCCTCACTAACAGCAGGGAACTGCCAGGTAATGTAGCCTGAAGAACATACTATATGAAAAAAAAAAAAGTCTAAGGAAGTTTTTCAGCAACACCTTTAAAATCTGAATCCAAAAACTCACTGGCCACTAAAAGACACTTGCTGGGAGAAAGGGAAATTACAGGCATTTCTCGGAGGAAGAGGTGAACAAGAAAAGAGGAACTCTTGGATTCTGTGCCAAACTTTGCAGCTAAAATTACTATGTAAACCTACCTGAGCCTCTTAATTTCTTTGAGCATCATCTTCTATCCCCAGTTGTAAAACAGAAGATAAACTTTCCCTATAGAGAATGCAGTGGGACTAATCTCATTCTTGTTTGTAAAACCCTTACAATTTTTTTTTAATGCGAAAACTAAAGCAGCAAGGATTTACTTAGTATTTCAACAGCTGGCCTTTGCTAGCTAATTGATGAACACAGGGAAACCGGAGACAAGCAAATGTGAAGTCTTTCTAGTTACGGAGGGGTCAGAGCAGGCAGGAAGAGGGAGAAGGACATTTATCTCAGCTTTGGGACTCGCCACACTCAGCCTGCTGCAGGTGGCATTTTCACAGTCCTCCTTTCACACAGGTTTCTACTCCTGGAGGAACTCTCCCTCCTGTCAGCACCCTGACTGCCCTGCACAGCCTAGAGCAAAATCCACATGCGCTGAGCCAGCAAACTCAGAACCTTATCATGGCATCGCTGCCGGGTGTTATGGCAATTGGAGCTGGTGAGACCTCATCCCTAGCACCAGCATTCACCAACACAGGTGCCTCCACCCTGGTGATAGGTGAGTAGTGTTCTGTAATGGCTCTGCTTATCAGGATTCAGATAAAGAGCTACCTGTAATTGTTAGAATTACCTGTCTCCTTTTCCAAGACAAAAGCACTAAGTTGGCAGTGATAGGAACCTGGGGAAATTGTCACAAACACTAAGGATCTTCAGCAGCACTACTTGCAAGTACCAATGGAATTAAGGGACAGGCTCTCCTCATCCATGTTAGAATTGTTACACACAAATCCATGTCTTAAGATCAAGGGACTTTTGCAATCTCTTCCTGTACCAATGTTTTGTTTTGCTGCTCTGCATCTTTCCAAATATATGAAATACTTCTTTAAAAACATGAAAATTGAAGCATATTCATAGTGCTTGAAAGACAAAACATCCTGTTCTGTTTCCTGCAAACAGCAGCATATGCCTTTGGAATCCACAGCAGTGATTACAAATTTTTTTTTTTATATTTTTCACTTTGACAGCTTTTCTGGACTTGTAGAGATTTTGTTTTCCTTCCAAGACTAGTCTACTGCCAAAGTGCATCTCATTAGATAAAAGAAAATAAAATATATGCACTTACTTCCCAGGAAGAAAGAGGCCTTATTTTGTTCCATGGGGCAGCTGTGAACTAATTTCCATTTCCTCATTTATACCAAGATTATGATACAGATTCTAATTCTGTGCAAACAACAACAAAAAAAAAAATTGGCGATTTCCACGGTGTGGAATCTGTACTGATTTACAGGAACAGGTTCTGGACAGTTGTGGGAAATGGGTAGTAATGTGTGAAACTTTCTACTCTTTCCCACTGGTCCAAATGACATAATTTGGCAGCCCAAGCAAACTGAGCTTAAACTCCATTCCATGTGGCTGGACAGCTACAGCGTAATTCTCTTTGTTGCCACCGACAGCTTCATAAAAAAAGTACAAAATGGACACTGAGATGATGCTCTGAGTTTACTTCTGGGCAAGGCCTCCCCAGTAGAACTCTGTATCAGGTTATCACTAAACTGGAAAGTGATCTATACTGATACAGGAGGATATACATAAGAACACTGGAAATGAGAGGTGGTTTTATGGTACCTGTCTGCGTTGTACATTTTGCACATTCCCACTTTGTTTTCACAGACATTAAATCTATTCGTAATCACAGATGACAAATGGAACACCTGAAAAACAGGATCTAAAATAACCCTGCAATGACAAGCTTGCTGTGATGATTATTTCAGACGCCTCTGTTGCAGTGTTGCACTTCTCCCGTAGTGTGTGACACTACTGTCATCAATCCTTGTTTTTCAGGCCTGGCCTCAACACAGCCCCAAAGTGTACCTGTAATAAACAGCATGGGGAGCAGCCTCACTACCCTGCAGCCTGTCCAGTTCTCCCAGCAACTGCATCCATCCTACCAGCAGCCCCTCATGCAGCAAGTCCAGAGCCACATCAACCAGAGCCCCTTCATGGCTACCATGGCCCAGATACAGAACCCTCACGGTAAGAATGTGAAATCATTTGCTCAAGCAAACAAAAAAAATAAAGACTTGGTTCTGGAGCATTTGCTGGGTCCTTGGGCTTGCAGCACTCTATTTTCCTCTTCTATTATTGTCACTCTACTTATGAAATTATTTCTCTATTGCATTCATCTCTCTGTCCCTCCACTCCCACCATTTCAGAGACAGGCCCCATGCATGAGGAGAACAACTCAGCCAAACTAGTCTCATGCAGAGCTCCAGCATCCACATGATCTTGTTTTCTTTCATGCACAGCTCTCTACGGCCCCAAGTCTGAAGTGGCCCAATACACACATACAGGCCTCTTACCACAAACCATGGTGATAACAGATACAGCCAATCTCAGCGCTCTGACTAACCTGACACCAACTAAACAGGTAACAGCCTTTAGCACTTGCCTTTGTTCCCCCACCTAAGAACTGCACCAATCTGCAGGGAGTTCCTTGCTTGTCAGTTTTTGGGTGTGTGGTCTATGCCATACCAGCAGGATGATCTTTCTTATCTCCTCACCTTGCTGGTACTAGCTGCAATATTGGAGGCATTAGAGCAAGCTCTTCACTGCATCATCCAAGAGGATTTAATCTCCTTGGAAACAGCACCTGCTCACTCTTCTCTGTTAGAAGGGATGTAGAAACCAGGCACTGGTCACTTTCTTTCCTCTAGGCATTCACACCTGACTCAGAGACTCACACAGAGTCTGGGATGCATACGCCAGTGTCACAGGCGCCAACAATACATTTACAGAACCAAGACACAACCATCCAGCACCTTCAGCCAGGCCCTCGCCTCACCTCAAGCCCTGCTGGTAAGAGCAGCAGCCACTATTATCTTTAAGTATGTATTGCCTAGTTACTCTTGCCAGCACTGTAACATCTAGTTAGAAAATGGTAATGGGAGCTCACAATTCTCTAAGAGGGCTCTATCAGTGCCTTGGGGAGTTTGAAAAGCTGGTACAAGATACAGAGCACAGTCTGTATAAGGACAGACTGTGGAAATGGGACCCTTATTCAGAATCTAGAGAGTAAAATAACCCTAAAAATATTGACAAAATCAGTGTTCAGTCCTCTGGGCAGTTTTCACGGCTGAAAAGCCCAAGACTCCCTCATGAAGAGACTCCAGCTGGATCTTCCCAGTTCTAAGAGAAGAACTGGGACATTAACAATCAACTAAAATCCTCAAAACTGAACTCTCTGAAGGTTGCTGCCCTCAATGTTTTCAGATTAGCTGTGGTCTTAAGGTAGCTATATAATGGCACAAAAACAGAAAAAGGACTTATGCCCCTATGTCAGCAGAGTTCAGTCATGCTGGAAATGTGTGTGCACATGTAAAGGGACCACAGTGAGAGTTTGTACTTAACTTCTGCCTGTGCCTTTGACAGTGTCCTCCAGCAGCCTGGTGCTGTACCAAAGCTCTGACTCTGCCAACAGCCACAGTCAGCTGCTGCCATCCACTCACAATGTCATTGAGACCTTCATCTCCACGCAGATGGCATCTTCCAGTCAGTAATAAAGACAACTAGCTCAAGGGTGACTGCCATGACCAGCCTGTCAGGTGCAACTCCAGTTGTGTTTGCCATCCCTGTCACCACTGCCTTCCACAAGAAGGAAAAGCCGCTGTGCTCAGCCAGCCTCCAGCCCCTACTGCCTCATACAAACCCCTTATCCAGCTGCCTCCATGAGAGATGTCTCAGGCTCCAGACAGAAGCCATGAAAATATGATGCTGGCACTGCTAAAATCTACTGTCTGTCCCACCCCCTCCCAGCAAAAAACAAGCAAACCTAAACCCCATGAGCCAGCCTAGAATGACCAGGCACCCTTTTGTGGCTGCCCAAGACTTTAATTCTCCACAGCCTTCATCAAGCTGGGCCTGTACAAACCTGCCACCACCAGATGAAGCCATGCAGGAAAGAACAAAGCTGAGCTGCCAAAGAAGGGACACCATCTTTAAAACACTCACCTCCTTTGCTGTAAAGAAGAACCAAGGGAAACTATGAGAAATAATAGTATCTTGGAGACAAGAGTGAGAGAACCTGGTTTCTGACTTCACAATGAAAATCACCAAGAAACAGATTCAGAAATGGCTTGGCACAAACCTGTCAGCATGAGATCACTGACTACAAGCTACAAATCCTTTAATTAACTACAAAAATATGAAACATCCTCAGTTAGAAATGACCTGCTCTAAAATCATGCTATCCTAGTGGAAATGGCTTGGTTATTTTTGATATAGCTCTGCTTTGTTTTAAATGCAGAAATTAAAGTTTAACAGCAGCAAGGAGATTCCATCTGCATTCGCCATGTGGATTCTCATCTCGTGCATCTTGCTGAATGAGCCAGGGGATGGCGTTCTCCCTGACACCGCACAACATCTGGGAGGCTCCCATGCTCTACAAAGAGCAGCAGTTCTTTCAGTTGTTCTCTATAAAGATGTCAGCTTGGATTAATTTTATAGAATGCAGTTCATTCTTAGCTTCCCTGTAGGCTGGATTCTGTCATTCTTGATATGCAAATAATTACCCTAGGGTCTAAGAGTCTACTTGCACTAAATGAAGGTTTTTAGCCCTAAGGATCTACTTATGTAACTCCTCTTCTAATTATTACTCTCTTCTCTATTTACTCTCAACATACACATCACTGATATGTTACTAGCCAGACATGAAAAAAGGCCTAATTAACATGTTTTTGTCTTTGTGACCGAAACAGAGCTATTCTTTCAACTGTGAAATGGATGAAAATTCTTGAGACTAGAATGTGCTCAAGACTTTTAAAAGGTTAAGATGCAAGGGAGAATTAAAAAAATAAGCAGCCCAGCAGTGAACTCTTCAGTTATCATATCTGGAAATTTCAAAATTGCAGATGTCCATTACAGTTTCTATTGATAAGAGCTTTCTCTAGATACCATCAACCATCAGAGACTAAATTCAGTAACCAGATTCTCCAAGGAATTTTATCCTAGAATTGCTTCCTTATCTCTCGTGTGCATCAGTTGCAAATACATATAACTTCCAGTTAGCATAAGAATAATCATCATAAAACAAGTCAAAAGGTAATGTTTAGATCACCATGCACTTGAAACCCCAGCTGCTAGCTTCAGTATATTGAAGTTTTAACTGCCCATAAGACAAGTAACGTCTGCTGGCACATTCAGTTAGATTACAAGCCAATTTTCTACTTAGCTTTTCCATTTTTGGATGCCAACTGTGTTTTCTTGATTAGAAAACAGCAAGGATCTTACAGTAGGAAAGAGAACATCTTGAGTTTTCCCACGCTCAGAGAGCAACAGTTCACTATTTTGGTTTCTCTATTCTGGCTTTCTGGTCTCCTGAATAGGGCCAATAAGTAAGAGCTACTGAAACCCAATAATCTTAAAAACAGAAGAAGATTATTTATCTAATAACAGGTCATTTCTGGAAATACTAGAACTGAAATATGAAGATTAAGAGCCATACAGAAAACTACCAAAACCCACTGTGTTTCAGAGAGACCAAAGCTGTAACCAACCCAAATAAGGGCTGAAACACAGCAACTTTTAAGTTAGGCTTATGTCCTTCCTATAGCAATTTCATAGCACTGATCGTCAAGCAACTGAAGAACCATCTTTATCTGTGTGGGGGAGCCATGTGAATGCAGCAAGAAAGCCACTGTTGTACAAAACCTGCCAAATTAAACAAGTCTAATAGTGTAGTACAATTTAATAACAAATGCCATGAAAAAAACTATACATGAAAAGAAATTTCAATGGACACAACCTAAACAGAACTACCTATTTATAACAACCTTGAAATAAGATCAGTGCACACTCTGTTTACATGCAGGGGCCCTGGAGAGGTGCAGACTACAGAGGGATTAGTAACATGGCAGGTCTCAACACCAGATTGTTATGACGCTGACAGGAAAAAAAATAAGGGGCCCCTGATATCTGACAGGATGCTTTTAATAAATGAATCTCCCACAGGCTGAAGCTATTCTTAGTAGGCATCTAAGAAGAAGCAAAGAGAAAAAGGAGTTGATCACCTGTTGCCATGTAAACCAAATTCAATTCATCATAGACTTTCTCCAGGACACAAGATTTGGTTTCATGATGTGAAGGACAGACCAGGAGGTATGTAACTATGATTATATCCCTCTGTCAAGCAAGTATGTGTGCAGTATTTAATCCTTTTACTCAGGTCTGCATAAGCAGCTGCATAGTGTGCTAGGAGAACAATGTTCCCTTCCCCAAACGATGCCAACAACATAGGAAGTCACTTAATTAGATTCTCAGGCCACTGAGCTTTTAGAACAGAAGCTTTACCAATCAATTTTCCCTCATCTGCAGTAACTCTTGCTCATTTTTTTTCCAGCATCCTTCATCCATCATAAATCACCTGCCATTTGCAGAGCAAAATCTTCATTCTCTTTTTTTCTTCTTCTTTTTCTTCTTCACGACTCCTGGCAACACTGAGCTCTCTGTATGATTGCTGTCCTGTCTTTCATGCTGTCCATTTGCAGACACCAACAGTGGCAAATCTCTGCACATGTGATCACACTCTGATGGATCTATTATTTTCTCTTGATTATTGTTCTCTCCCCTAATTTTCTTTTTCTTCCTTTTTTTCTGACTGTGCTCTACATAACCCTGACTCTGATCCTGACTGGAATCTTGGGACAGTGCAGGAAAAGCACTTTGCTTCAGAATGTCTGCAGCTGACACAGCAGCCTCCTGGTACCTTTGCCACTCTTGGTCACTGTCCGTGTCACTGAAAAGGTAACAAAAGGAAAGGAAGTCTTATTAGACTTTTGCCTTGAATTCACCCAAATCACAAACAGTGGAGTAATCCAAGATGAGAACACCTGATAAACAACACCCAGTGGCTTTGGGACTCCAGTACCTACAGTTAGCATTTAACCAGTGTGAAGGTAGAGATGTTCTTTATAGATGCTAGGAGGGGAAGGAACATCTCCTGCAAGCATTTCTAGTTCCATGGCACTAAAAAAAGAAACAGAAAAAAAAAAAAATCTGCTCTAATCAAATATAGGAGTCAAATACACACTTCTGCAGCTCTTCAGCTTCTTATTCCCTTGCAAGAGTCCCAGCTGCCTCTGAAATGTGGGATGAAATAGTACTTCAGGAGCAAAGCAGCTGACACTACCTCACCTGGAGCTAGACGGCTGTCTCCTCCTTGCTGGAGGGCAAGGCTCTGATTTCCCACAGTCTCCTGCGACAGAGGAAGAGAAGAGGCGAAAACCTAAAATATGTAAAGGAAAATTTTAGCTACGATATAAAACATAGGTTAAAGCAATCAACAGCAATCTCCCTGGGAAGCCTCACTGCTGTCATTGTATTGCTATAGTGATTGACAGCAATTATTTGGGATTATCTGGGAGGATTTAGGGCACAGAGATCACAGCTTCAAAGTAACAGCTTTCAATGCTGCCAACAGAGTCTTCTGTTGCAAAGGCTTATTAGTCAGTTGGGTGTACAACTGGCAATGGGTAGGATCCATCCCACTTACCATTTAACAAACAACATCACAAAACAGCCAAATGGCTGTGACAAGAACTCACCATCATCTGCAGAATCAGACTGTTGCATAGAACTTTGTGAAGGTCCTGATGAGTCCTTCAAGACAGTGATGAAGCTAAACAGAAGACCCCAGTCAGATCTTAGACAGGTTTGTGCAAACTGAGATAAAGTTGGGTATTTCTAGGAAACAAGACTTATGGAGATGTTACATAGCTTCTTACTTTTTTCTTAGTGAAGCTGTCTCACCACCCTGCTTTCAGAGCAGACCATGCCTTCTCTCCTTAGCAACACATGCCACAGGAATGACTTAAAAGCAGCATTTCCGAAGCCAGCTCTAAACACAAGGAATTCTAGTTCTCCAGGACCATATTTACACAGTAAAGACAGTGGCAGCCCAGTCACAGGCATACTGCCAGCACGGTAAGCACAGTATGCCTCTGACTGGGCTGCCATAGTATCCCTACTGTCAAATCTGAATCAGGTATTGGTTTAGGTCATAAAAATAAATGAAAGTTTCTCAAGCCAGCTTTTAAGTGATGAAAGTGCTAAGGCATCCAAATCCTACTCTTTCCTCTCCACAACACATTTACTACAGAGGCAAATGGAGAATGGAGACAGGCAGTGCTGCACAGAGTCTTTAGCAAAGGGGCACAGCACATGGGCCAGGTTAGTTCACATAATATTGGAAGTTTGCATTTAATACAGGAGTGAAGGAGACAATAAGAGAAACATCTTCTCCTCCATATCCAGCTTGCACTCAGATCTTGAATTTCCTGTTTTTAGCACACAAAAACATCAGTGTAGTTGACCCACAAAACAAACTATTTTAGTATTGCATGCCAAATACCTGTCTAACATTGCTCCCAGTTTCTTTGCAACATGTGCTCTGAACGCTGGTGTTGTCTGCAGCTCATTTCCATCCTCATCATGACTATTCACCTTACGTCTATTTAAAATAAGAATAATGATTATTGCTTTCCAGGCCAATAGCATCTGGTGCTCTCACCCAAACATAAGATAAGGGAATACAAAATCCCCTAACCTCTAGTAATCAATTCATACTTGATAGGGAAGACCGCTAAGAAAGATGGAAAATAGCTCATTAGTAACAGTTCAGTTCCCGAGAGAGCTAAATATTACTTAGCCATCTCCATCACAGTCAGTAACTGGATAACTTTTATCATTGAAATAATCTACAAAAGCAAATAAATTATGTCAGGACATCCTTTCCCTTAAACGTAGTTCCTGTGTATGCTGCCACAATTCATGCAAACCTGACCCAGGAGAGAGAGGATTTTATTAAGTATTCTGGATGACAACCTTTGAAACTGAGCCTACAGAAATGCTGCAAACTTAGGACAGCATCACCTCCATTGCTAGGCTCTGAGCTCAGGTGTTGCTTTCCAGCTGATGAGTGTTTGCCTTTGCAATTGCAATGTTTTTTGAAGAAAAATAAGTTTTTTATATGTAACTGTACTAATTCCCTCATGGGACACTTGTAGTGTTGGGAGACTTCTGACACTTGGAATTAGTGCTGTAACTGACAGCAGTAATAAGTTTTCAACTTCTATATTCCACCGCTGCTGGAGAGATGAGAAATGTATTTAAAACACCTATTAACTTTTTCAGATTTAAGCATCATTTCAGATTATGGTTGGACTAATTCTTAAAACAGAATGGGCCCTGCCAGTAGGAAGTATCACATGGCATTAATTGTAAGTAGCACAAATACCACATCCATTAGTTTCTTCTTCAGTGAAACGTAAGTCTGAAACTAGAAACAAAAAATACCTTAGGCTAGGCTGAGCGGGCTGTAAGCGATCCTTTTTAAAACCACCTGATAGAGGAAAAAGTAAAGGCAAGTTTAAAATACCTGTGAGCAGGACCTCTTTAATTCTGGCACGTGTGATTTTATAGCACAAAGAATCATGCCTGAAAGACAATCCACTCCCACCTCCGAGGGAAAACTGTCATGAGGGCAAAGGGAAACTGCCCGCCGGGCAGCTGTAGCAGGCAACCCACCCGGGAAGGGGCTCTGGCCTCCGCAGGAGGCCGCGCACCGCCATGGCACGGCCGGCCGCCGGGCCAAGTCCCGCTCCCACAGCCCCGCCGCGGCTCCCCGGGTGCGGGCGGCTCCCGAAACAGCCCGGCGCTGACACCGGCACCGCGGCAGAGAGGTGCCGCCGCCTGACCGCCGCTCCCCGGGGACTGCTCGCGGCAGGAGGAGCTACGGAAGGGCCCGGCCCAGACCGGCGGCGAGGGGAAGGGGAGAGCCTAGCTGGCCACCAACCCTCACCGCCATGCGGCTGCCCCCGCGCCGCTGCCGCCTGCACAGCGCAGTCCCAGGCGGCCTCCCGGAACCGCGCTGCCGCCTCGCCGCTGCTGTCCGAGTCCGTGTCCGCGTCCGGCTTCGAGATGCCTCTGGGCGCCGTCATCTTGAAGGCGCGAGAGCCGCGGGGCACGCTGGGTGCTGTAGGCCGGCCGGTCGGCCGCGGTGCATGCTGGGGGATGTAGTCCACCCGGGCAGCCTCCGACAAGATGTCCGCGGCGGGGCAGCCGTGGGCACCCCCAGCTTTCCCGAGTGAGGTTTCTTCACGTCTCCGTGAAAGAAGCCGGGTGAAGGCTGTACCCACGGGAAAACCAGGGGTGTGGCCGGGGAGGGCAGCAGGCCAGGTCTTCCCAAAAAAACAAGAAAGCCTGTGAGTGAGTTTATAAATGGAAGGAACTGGGTGTCACACGCAGAATTGTGAGATACTGTGAAAAAGGAATATTTACGCTGGATATCTGTACCGGCCGTCAGAGGAGAGCAGGGCAGACAGTGCCACCAGTGCTGAGAAACCCCCAAAGTGCAGCGAGGGGACCCGGGCGGCCCACCCGCTTTCCCACTGCCCATTCTTCGGATTTCTGCTACTGGGAAGAGCGGTGCCCACAGATGGGAAACCACTAAAAGTAAACACGGCTTGTTTTCACATCCCTCTGTTGCTGAACAGCCTCCTTTCACGTATGCTATACAGGAAAATATCTTAATTTTTCCTCAGATGTAACAGCTCACACCAACTAAGAGCGAAAAACACCAGTGATACCAGAAAGCCTATATTACTTTTGTGTTTGTAGAGAAAGAGAGAATGCTTGGCATTAAAGAACAAGGATGCAGAGGGAGTAAGCAACTGTAATAAAATTTTATCACATTTTGTGAGATGGCAATTTCACTGCTTCAGAAATACTGACAGGACTCAAATGAAGTTTTTGATGGACAGTCATTCTGATATTGCAGACAGCTCAAAAATCTTCTACCATGAAGGCATGACATAGGATGGGATCATCTGCTGTAGGAAGTTATCTTTCAAAAGCAGGTAAGAAAAGATACTAGGCATGCATGATTCACTAAGTATGTAAAATGTATCAGGCAAAAAGCATCTTATTTCCCCACCTCTGGCAGGGGAGGGAAAACATACACCTCTTCTGTACCTTTTGCAACTGCTTTGTCCATAAATATTGAATTACAAGTTTCAAGGATAACAAATTGACCTCTAAAAAGGCATTAAATATTTAACTCAAAAAACATGAAGATTGCATGAGGGATATTCTATTTAGCACTCTTACCCAGCTTGCCTTGATGATACTCTTCTGGCCACGTCCTTCTAGCTGGCTGTTAGAGACATGGGGATTTCTATAACAGATTGCGACTGTGTTTCAGCTCGATTATTTGCCTTCACAGATGTCAAGCACCAGATGCTTCAAAGCATGTTATACACAAGCAAATCAGGCAAATTTCAGTGTGCTTATGGGCCTACTCTGAAATATGGCAGTTTCCAGAGATATGATCCAGAAAAAAACTAGATGGATGCATGTCACATATCAGAAATAGCTGTGTAGTCTCCCACCTTACTGGTGTGGTATTGAAAACAGAGAAGTGAAATGAGCAGCTCTTGGAAATAGCTCTTGCTGAACAAAGCCACAGACAGAGAGGAACTCTTTGGCATGAACATTTCAAGGAAAGAAGGAAGAATACTCCCAAATGTGATTTAATACTGAATTAAGATAACATTGGGTTGAAAATACAAGTAAACCAGGGAGAATTGATGTGAAAAATACTGATCAGAGGTTCAACAACTTGGATTCCTGATATATGTAAGACTTCCGTAATTTTTAGGAAGGGGTTGATACGTACCATAAATATCAACATTATGTTTGACAATCTTGTGACTTAGATTGTGAAGAAGTGAATAAAAGTGATTTATCATTACACACACCATAAGAATGAACTGACAAACAGAGCACACGGTTTTCCTAACTCTAAGCAATTACTGGCTACCAGCTACACTGAAGAATGATACACATATCACCATTAGAATATAGATAAATATAAATGCTATTTCTATTCCCATTATGCACACAATATATAGCTCTTTGAAAGCTGATTTCTTAGCTGCAGTAAGGAAAGCATTCCCTTGCATCACTTATTATTGCCATTCAATGTAATTATTCTTTGCCAGCAGGAGTAAATCTGAATGTCCCATGTATATTCTCCAGCTGACCTACGGTTTTAAATAAGTCTGTTTCCCTCCTATTAACCTTAGCTCTAAACAAGATTAACATTTTCATTCTCTTCTTGTATACCACCCTTTCCATTCATCCAATCTTATTCATTGCCTGCCTCTGGATCTTTTCCATTTTAAAAAGAAAACACTTGATATAAGTAGAATGGGGTAGTGTAAATAAGTAATTATTGAAATGAATAATAGTATTATTCCATTATTCTGAGACCTAAAATATAAATAAAAAGTTAAAATTATCACTTGGGAATGAAAATATTCCCTGGCTATGTTGTCTATGGCAGTAACTCTATTTCTTTTCAGATTGCTTTAGTTACTGTATGACACCCAAACAATAAAGACTGTTCTGAGCATAACTTATTCCTGTGATCATAATACCAAAAATCAACCTTTTTTTCCTCTTTATACTGAAATCCTTTTGACTCTAGACATATATGTTGACAAGTACAAGCTGGTTCGAATTTCACAAGCTCATCCTTGTTTTAATCAGTATCTGGAGGATACCGTTTATACCTTTGGGGCCTTGTTAACATATTAATCACATACTACAGAGAGATGCCTAATTTTTGCTTGAATACTGAAGCTGTGCCAAACCGTGCTGCTTTACTGTCTTGATGAAAATGAGACAGCCTGCTTTGTTAGAGAAATTTTCACAGACAATACATACATTGCTAGTGTGGGTAGGGCAGCTTTATAACATGTGTCCTAGTGCCATAAGCACTATAATTTTCTGATACTATCTCCATCTTTCCCTCAATACAAATTTTCCAGTGTGATATATCAACATGTAACATGTATGGCAATTCCAGCTGGGCTGCTGGATGACCACTTTGACATGGGTTTTGCCCTATATGCTACTGAAAGCAGCGTGAAGCCTCAGTACAGCTGTGGTTTTATATTGCTGAACACTTTCCAGCTTGCACATTCCAACCTTCGAACTAGAGCTGTGTAGTCTCAGGCCACCTGTCAGTAGAAAGGCCTCAGACAATACCTTTTGTCTCTTTCTGAAAGGCTTCCTTGGCACTCACCTCCCTCCACTTAACTATTCCCTCATAAGACTTGCCTTTAGTGGGAGACCTTGGCTTAGGATTCACTCATTCTCCCCTGTGTAAAACAGCAAGCAATTTTGCACTTTTTCTGCCTTGGTGTCCTCAGAACTGGTGGGGTACTCTGAGAGCAATGACAAAAACTTTCAGAGGTGCCTTGGTCACCTCTCTCAGCTCTTACCCACTCCTTCAGACATCAAGTCCTCTCCTTTCCCTCCCCTCGGTCCTTCTCTTTCTCTGTGGTTTCTCACAGGTGTGTAAATACCTTTATAAAGCCTTCTGTTCCCATCCTGGGGACGCTCCTCTGCTCAGATCCTAGCGCTCTGCACACACATTTGAACAATTTGTTTCCCTCAAAGCCACCGCCTTTTTCCTTCCCTCATCGGGCCGAACATTTGCCGCCGTTGACGCTACGTCGTTTTTGCTCTTTTCCGAGGCAGCCCTTTGGACACGGCCCCCGCAACGCCTCACGATAAACAGGCAGCAGAACTGCAACAGAGCTAGAAAACGCAGCCGGAGCGCGCAGGCAGGGGTTGTGGCGGTGGTGCCCGAGCACGGGCTGAACGCACTGAACCGGTTCCTTCGCTGAGGTAACAACCGGCCGGGGTGGGTCCGGTTCGGGGAGGGAAGGGCAGCCCGGCAGCGTCCCCCGCCCCGTTTCCACGGAGCCGCCCGGCGGGGCAGCCCCGGGCGGGCGGAACGCGGCCCCGCGGCCCGGCGCGGCGGCGGGAAGGCCGGTCCCTTCCGTCGGGGCGGGCTTCCGGGCGATCAGGTGACGGCGGGCGCTGGCGGGGGGAGCGGCTCGGGGCCGCCGCGGCGGAGGAGCGAGACCCGCCGGTGAGCCGAGACGAGCGGATCCCGGCTGGTGGCGGAGGGCGGGCGGGGGGGGGGAGCCGAGGGCGGGCAGGCGGCTGCTAGGCGCGAAGGGAGCGGGCCGGGGCCCAGCCGTGCGCAGGGGCCGCTGGCAGGCCGGAGCCGCCCGCACCCGTTCGGAACGAGCGAGGCGGGGGCGCCGCAGCAGCCCCGGCCCCGGTGCCCGCCCTGTGCCGCCCTCGCTGACGGAGCTCCGGCCCGGGGTTCGCTGCCGCCGCGGCGCGCAGGGCCCGGCGCTGCCTGCGGGGGCTTTTCTTCCGGCAGCGCCGGTGTTGGCGGCCGGGGGCGGGCGGCCCCGCGCCCCCTGCGAGGAGAAGCGCCTGTTCCGCGTTAGGTAAATGTCTGCCTGTAGGTATGGTCGCAAAGCGTTAGCTGATGGTACGTGCCATTGTTTTTTTGGTTTGGTTGGCTGGTTGTGATTTTTTGTTTCCTCTTGGGAGTGGTTTATTGGTTTTTAACCCACAACATAACTATTTTATTTTATTTTTACATTTTGCTGCTAACCTGCTTAGCCTACTTAAAGGGCATTTAATGTTTTATATAACACTCCAAACCAGGAATATGCTCAGGCAGTACTACCCAACTGGTTATATCGATTTTCTTTCCTTTTCTTATTTCCCCCACCCCCCTTTGGACTTCATGAGTAAGAGAATAAAATCTTTGTTTAAAGACTCGTACAACATTTTCTTGGAGTCTATAATATACTCTTATGGAATGGTTTAAAAAAAAAAAATAATCACCTGCTTCTTTTTTTTCTTTTTTTTTTTTTTTTCCCCAATAATTTGTAAGAATGTCTTGCATTTCTGTGGTATATCGAATCTGTAGAGTTGCCAAAACAGCCTTTCAGCAGGGCTCTTATCCTGGAAGCAGCAACTGTAACACAGAGTAGGTTGCGGATCCCAATTAATGAAATGAGGCCAATCAAGGGCACGTTGCTTTGTAAGGCAAATGGCTGATTTCGCAAGACTGAGTGGTCACGCAATCTTGTGAGTTGGGACCACTTCATGGTAATACTAAAAAGTGGGTACACGATGCCCTACACGTTGCAGGAGGTGAAAAGATGAACTCAGAAAATGTTTCTGAGGCATTAAAATGTAACATGTTTGGGGGACAGAGTAGAGTAAAAAGGTAGTGAGAGATAAATGTGTATTTAATGATTAACAGTAGGACTTCAAAATGACTATCAGGAAGTAAATATACCTTCTTCTAGGCACTGTCAACAATTATCAACTAAGGCTACCTGTTAGTTTTAGTTGAAGTTCAGGCAATTGTAATAGGTTAAGAATCAGATTTTTGTTAAACTTTGTGCTGGATCCCTAAACGTATCTTTAGTTCCATCTCTTCTTCATGCTCCACCTGACTTTTTTTATTTAGGAAAACGATTTGAAAATGGGTTCTTTGTTTCTTAACCATTCATCTGTTGCCACTCTTGATTCTTGGATGTAGTAAATGTCAGTGGTTCACTCATTTTCAGAACAACCTGTTCGGATATCATAAGGGTCATGATTTAAAGGAAAGAAAACAGCTAATATAGATAGCTTTTAAGTAACAAAGATACTGTTTTCCTGTAAATAACTAGAGAGCAAAGAAGCAAGAAAGAAAAAAGATAAAATCTTTGAACGCGTGCAGTTAGATCACAGCTGATTTTTATATCCCTTCTCTTGTTTTGTTTGCTACTCATCATGTGTCTGGCATTGATTTGGAGACCTGATCTAAAGGATAAGGGTTTAGCGAACCTGGACTACTGGCATCTCTAAATTCTACTTACTTAACCCCAAAAGTCATATTATATCCTAGTGTATTTACAGTCTTCCTTTTGAATTCTATATCAAAATGGAAATGGGGATGGTTTGGCCTGTTGTGTTAATTTTTTTTTTTTTAGTTTGTGGTTTGCTTGTGGTTTGTTTTTTTGTTTCCCCTGCCTCCCCAAAAGGTTTGTTTCAGAGTTTACGTAGTGCAAGTGGCATTTCAACAATTTTGTGCTTGTTCCACTCTCAGAACAAGTTGAATTTGCAGTTGAACTTCTACTTTAGGATTCACAGAGTGCACTTGCAAGTGATACAGTATATGATTATCAAATGTAAGTTTAGTCATTGGATGCTATTTCATGCTTGCTTCTTTGTATGTGTGCAGGGTGTCTTGCAGATAAACAGACTCCAACAGCACTTCTTGTAGACCTCTTCTGTTAAACAGTATGCCATGGACAAGAGCAAATGTTTGAGAAGACTTTTCGGAATAAGACTGATTATTTTTGTTGCTGTGTTTTGATGTATTTTTTGGATACATTTTTTGATATTTTAAGTTGGTTATATCCTTATAAGTGATCAGGCCCAATCAGCCTATGGAGAAATAATTAGGAGAGGATCCCGGTACGGACTGAGGAATGACCTTCCTCTAGGGGAGTAGATTCAGTGCCTGTTGTGTTATATCATTTTGATCCTTCTTCTGTCGCAGCTGTCTTTATTTCATTACATTACTGATATTCCTATGGATTTCTCTATTATCCTTCTTTAACTTCATTATTTATTTACTTTTCATAGTTACTAAAAGCTAAGGGTTTTTTAAGTAGGTGCTTTTGAAGGTACAGATTTTATCTTTTTGATGAGTCTCCAGATTTCTGATATTAGATATATGAAAAAAAGGATCTTTTTTTTCCACATTGGCTTTAGGGACACAAATTCATTCGCCTCTTCTATATGTTTTCCTTGTGTAATATGCCAAGATAAGAGCCAGACATTTCTTGTGCCCATTCCATAAAATGATGCTAGCGTTTTTTACAGTGTGGCAAGTTTTAAGGAGGTTTTCTTAATGTTGATACTCGTTCCCAGCAAGTATGTATAGGTCCAAGTTAGTAAGTTTTCAAACATTAAACACCTGAACAAGATAGGCTGAAGGTTCTGGTAGTAAGGATGTGTGAAAAATCCAAGCATCTTTAGTGTATAGTTTGTGGGCTGGCAGCATTTCCATCTGCCTTGAACTAACATGAATTTTAATTTTGTACAATGAGCTGTGTTGCTGCTGAGTGTAAATGAAGTCATGGTGTGAAATGCTAAGAGTCAGCAGTGCTGAAAGCAATGTATGTTAAAGTACAGCATCTCTGAATACAAAGCTGCTCTTCTGGGACACGGTGCAAAATGATGTAACTGAGTGAAAAAGCTTTGCAAAAATATATTTTACTTGCTGTAATTGTCTTCACTGCAATACCTTCGTGAGGCTTGAGTATGATGCTTTCTTGATCATGCAGTGGGATTGTATGTATGAAAAAAGCTGTTGACAGTAACAGCTACTGAGGTTTTGTTTTGCTGTCCTGCACCTGTGCTTCATCATTGCTACAAAGAGGGAACACTAAGGAAAGCCTTTAATGATTGTGGGTAAGTTTGCAAAGAAATTAGCTTCTGAAAAATGTAGGTTGCCCTTTTAAAGCACTTAACTGTTTGTATGCTTCCAAAAAGTTCAGATAATCACCGGTTTCTTTCTCACAACTTTATCGAAGTATTCATATCCCTGCAGCAGTAACATGATGCCAGTGTTTTCATGAAAGCACAGTGGAATATTTTAAGCATTTTGTTTTGGTAAATTAATTTCTGTAACTGCTGAAACTCTCTTAGTTGTTGGATTAAATTTCTTGTACTGGTAAAAGTGTTCCTGGAAATACAAATGCCTTGTGCTGAGTCTCAGAGTTTTAGGTACTGTGGAATTTGCATATCAAAGAATTGGACTGTAGAGGTTGTTGCAACTGAAATGAAATAAATGGTGTTCTTTGATAAATATGATGATGTTAATGAGAGGTGTAAGCATGTAAGTAAAATTAAAGCACACTGAAGTAAAATTGTTACTACTTCTGCATTACCACTAGATTAGAAGTGTTTGATAGTTTGAAAGTACTAGAAATGTTTGATACTTATATCAACACACTGCTGTGATAGCAGCAATATACTGCTGATGAGACAAATCAAGTACTAAGCCACCTTTGCTTGCCATTAAGCCAGTCAGTCCTAATTGTATAATGCTTCATGATTAAATCTTATTTCAGACTGCACACACAGTTATAACTTGTACCGAATTTTTGGAAGAGCACATAGGACTAGGTGGGCTCATTCTTCTCATAGCGAATGGCATTTATGAGAAGATACGATGGTTTTGTTTTGGCTGTGGATCTCAGTTGCTTATCAGTAACTTTAAAATACAGGTCACATATCAACCAGGTCATACTACAGGACTTTAAAGTAGCTTAGTTTCTAAAAAAAAGATCCCTCTTGGCTATGTTAAACTAAACCCATCAACAATAGGATTCAAGTGCTTCTTAGATAAACCAATACCAGCTTGGAACAGGACAAGAATGCAATGCCAAGAAGTTGTTTGTTTGTTTTTTTTCCCCTTTCTCACTGCTAGGATTCCAACAGGAAAATTTTCTTGACCCTGTGTCTGGGTAACTCTTGAGGATGGCAAGCAAAGGACCCACGACTTCTGCATCAACAAAGAACTCCAGTACCGGAGGGACCAGTGGCAGCAGTAGCAGTAATGGTGCTGGGGACAATGCTAATCAGGATAACACTTTTGAATGTAACATCTGTTTAGACACTGCCAAGGATGCAGTTATCAGCTTGTGTGGACATCTCTTCTGGTAAGTACTCAAACCCCGACAGATAAACCAGAACACTGTATATCCCTGATCACATAAAAGCCTATAATTTTTATAATTCTAAATGTCAAATAAAATCTCATGTATAAAATGGGTAAGGACCATGGGTTTGGTTTTGCTCCTCCACTGTTTCTTTTGGCTCATGTTCCAGGGAGTGAATTTCTTGTGTCTTAAACTTCCTGTACTTCTGGATTATTTTGCAAAAGCAAACAAATAAGTAGCCCCCACGTAGACAGTTCAGTGTTCATTGATACTGCTTGGTTGTATGTGTTATTTTATTTGTGCTGTCTGGTCTAGCATAATAGATACTTCGTTAAGACCTAAATTCCTTTCTAACCTGTGCATAGCTAAACCTGCATCTGAAACTAGGTTTTGGAGGCCAAATTGTAGTTTTAATACTTCCTACAGGCTTGCTCTTTTTTTCCTTTGGAACCATAAAAAAAGGAAAAAAATGAGATAACAAGCTTTTACATGTGGGCTATTTCTCTTTTCCCATGGTATTGCAGTTATAATACTAACTTTTCAGTTCTTTGACCTGACTTGGGAATGGATTGCACAAATATAATAAGCATGCAAAATTTCTTATCTGGGTATCTTAGTCTAGAATATGCTCTTTCTTAAATGTTAAGAAGTTATTAAGGATTGACATGGCAAAATGGTTGGGGTTTGGGGTTTTTTTTTCAGTTTATTTTACACAGTAGGCTAAATTATGCTGTTTAATAAAAAGAGGCCTAAAAGCATGTCTAGGAGAAATGGAAAATCACTTGCTGGTGGCATGTTAAAATGAAATTAAATTGTTTCACAAAAGGATTTGGAAGAAGGAAACTTAAAAAATAGCATGTATCTTATCTGAATAGAGTTGTCAAGACCACTTTGAAAGCAGATGGCTGTTTAGCAATTTTATCTTGTAGCTTGCTTATTTGTCTTTGACCTTTTTTAAGTTGCCATGTTAATTTAATTTTAAGAGTAGTTCTGTATAATGGGAATTTTTCTGCCCTGAGCAATCATGTCTGATCTCAATAGCTGACCCTGCTCTGAGTGTCAGGTTGGATGACAGACCACCTGAGGTACTGTCCAGCCTGAGTTATTCCACGATTCTGTGAATGTGGCTGATGTGTTAGCTAAATGTCCCTTGCATGACTTCTTTTAAGATCGTGAAGTCTTATTACTGACATCTTCCTCATTTGCATCTTGGCTCAGGGATATTTTTTCATGGTATCCGAATAGAAAGTCTGTACAGTAAATACTGAAATTCATTCTCTGTGTGGTCCTTTGGTATGGATGAGGACCCAGGAATCAAAGGTGATATGAAGAGAATCATGTTAGCAACTTAGGTTGTGTAACCTGAAAAGATCAGTGGAGATCTGGCTTGGGCTATATTTTCAAAAGTTATTTTAATGGGAGGTTATGGAACTGGCTCGACTGGATTCCAGGATTCTATTGTTTCTGAGCCATGCTATCCGTGGTACCCTTTATACTTTTGTTGTATAGAGTTGTCAGTAACTAATTCTGTTTTCCCCTTTTTCTCTGCTTTTCCCTGCTCTGTGAACAAATTGTCCTGGGAATGCTCACAGTTGGCCTTGTTTACACCAGGTAAGACAGGTTTCCTTTTACTTTGTCTTTCATCATCTTCTGTTACTCAATAAAGCCCTTGGTTCTCTGGAGTATCCCCCTCCTTTCAAATGTGCTTCTTTCTCTCCAGGGCAGCCGCAATGCACTAATGCAACTTCATGTGCAACACCTTGCAATCTGCTCTTTCAACGTAAAGAAAACTTAGATTCTGTTCCACCTGCCTCCCGCTTTTGAGTTTCTTAAACACTGAGTATTCCCAGTTTTGGTAGGAGAATTACTGTAGGCAGTTCACGGGGGTTTAGTTTGCAGGCTTAAGTGTTGAGTGTACTTCTCTTTACATATGTAGTGTTTTACATTGTGGTACAATTATAGAAAAGATAAATGAAAGAAGAGTACCTACGGTAGCCCTTGGCCTATGCAGGGCTGTTGGTACTGTTTATTTCTTCATATTTTACTCCAGTGCAGTTCTGAATGTGTACACACCAGCAAGTGGATTGTACCAAAATGCCAATTCCGCTTTGGAGAGTACTTGGCACTTACTAAAATGTTTTGCTCCTTGGCTCTCTGAGAAATGTCTAAAATCTCTCTGCCTGGATGCAGATGAGGTTTGCATGTTGTTGCTGTCATGGTCTTTTACTAGTTTCCTTATAATTTCCTTTCTTTTTAGTGGCTAGAAACCAGGCCAAACCGACAAGTGTGTCCTGTGTGCAAAGCTGGAATCAGTCGAGATAAAGTTATTCCTCTGTATGGAAGAGGTAGCACTGGGCAACAGGACCCCAGGTAAGAAACCTAAACCCAACTATTTTTCTGTGAAAACTAAAGATGAAACTTTAGTTTAAGGTCTTAAGATGAAAATACCACAGTGCTGGATTCACAGTTTGAAATATTTTATCAAAGACAGATAGAACTGACATTTCTGCCAAATACTTCTGGCTTTTACTTTTTTTTTCACCTGGGTTTTCACACCTTATTTCTTGTTCAACCGGCAACTTATTTTAATTTGAATTAGGTTTTAATTATCAAAGTGGCAGGTTACAGTGAATGTTACCTGACTGGAGAAGCTTATATAAAATGTTCATGTCCTCAGTTTCTAGCCTTCGCAATGGGACTTTGTTATTCAAAAGTGCAGTATCTTAATTCAGCGATGTGATGCTGAAGGTTTGTAAACTGGGTTGTCTACTCACTCAGATGCTACCTCCAGCTCTGCTGCAGCATAGCCCTGTGAGAGCATGCTCTGTGTTTGTTCTGTCTTGTTAGCCAGGCTATTGCAGATACTTTTGTCATATATCCTTGCACTTGAGCTAATTTCACAACTTCCTGCAGAGAAAAAACTCCACCACGACCCCAAGGACAGAGACCTGAACCAGAGACCAGAGGGGTAAGTGAAAAAAACGAACTCAAGCAGATAAGTTTTTTCTATTGAGGGTGGCATTTATTCATCCTGGAGAACATAATGTGTGCGTGAGATCCTGTGTGAGGATCCTATAGCTTACATTTCTTGCTCATCCCCAGTAGGTTGTTCATGAATAATTGATAGCTGCAGTGTGGCAGAAAACTCCATTCCTATAGTACTCTTTAGTATCCCAAAGAATGGGTTAACTTGAATCGTGCTTCATTAAAACAGCTTTTGTGGCATCACTGGAAATGCTCTTCATACTTAATTGTTCTCCATATATAAATACAAAGAACACTTTGCTTTGAAAAGTATTTGTGGAAATATATTTCCATCAAACTACTCCTGTCATGGAAATATATAATCCATGTGTGTACTTAGGTTTTTGGCACTGACACCTGCTTCTAGCATTTCCATGGGGTGTTACTGTACCATGGCATTACAAGCAAAAGAATGTAGATGTCTGTTGGATACATGTTAATTTGAAGAGGGATCTGTGGTTTTGTTGAGGAGATTACATTGAGTGAATGTAAACAGCAGCTGGTATACACTGAACAGACATGGGAGTAGCCAGTAGCACAGACCACAGCATTCTTTTGCACCATGGCAGTGAGCGTGACCTGATGAAACAGTTGCTATTTCCATGTAACTCAGCCTAGGTTCCTAAGAGAGCATTTGTATACTTGATGCTTCAAGCAAACAACTCTGCCGGGTGTGATTAAGGCACATTTCTGTGTTGAATGTATTGGAGCTCAGTAGTCCTCTCTCGCTAGGGAGTTGCCTTCTTAAATCAGCTGCTATACCTGGTTTGAACCTTTTAGCCAGTGCTGTCATAAGTCAGAGGAATCTGGTATGAAGATGTAGCAGTAGTGATGCTGCCCTCCCATTTCCTACAGGTGCAGGACCTGCCATGCAGAGTGCTTTTCTGTCCCTCATAGTTAATGGCAATATGCTTGAGAAGACTCATAGTCAAAAGACTAACTCCTCAAATCGAGGATCAACCCAGAATGTCTGGCTTTTATTATATGAGTGAAATCACCTTTGTCCTTCTTCCCACTGTTTGGAGGTGATAGACCAGAGGGTTTTTCAGAATTGGTATTGCTGTTTTAATTCTAAGATGAGAGGACAGTTTGCTGGATGACAGAACATGGTGACTGTGAGCTCTCCACAGTTTTTAAACATGACTCAACTACTTAGATTCATATACAGTTGGTTCTCAAATAGCACACTGCTTTGATAGAGTAGAATTCAGCTTGATTCAGAAGACTGACTTACCTTTTGACTTGATGTGGTAGTTTACTCTGGATCCCATAGGGGTCAATGTTGTTGCATTGTAACTCTTCCTTTTTTCCTCCTTATGTCTTGCATTCCTGCCCCAGATGACTTTATCCGCCACCTTAATTAGAGTCCCCCTGGTAATTTTTTTTTTTTGTTACTACTCTTCTCTATAATGCTCTGTGCACCCACTGGCAATTTATCACTTACTGAATGTTTAAATGATGCATATGTATCACAAAAGTCAACGCGGATTATTTTTTTACAATACCTTTTCTTATAGTTATATGGCTAATAGCTATAAATACAGAATTATTAGTACGTTGTTAAGACATTCTAAATAGAATTGGTGATGTTGATTTTGATATATTGTCAGATCTATACTATTTTAAGTTGAGAAACTTTACAGAAACACTTTTGTTAATTTGTGGCCTTCAAACAAGAACTGCAGTTCCCAGCTTTCATTTCCTCAAACTTTTGTGTTACTCTGGCAAGTTTGCTACTGTGTGAAACATTTTAAAACCAGGAGAACTAAGGAGGTATTTAATAACAGTGGGGCAGACTGAACACTGCCAGACAGTGTGATACTCCTTCAGCTGTAGGAAAGCCAGTCAGAAGGAATGTCTGCAACTTTACAAAATATTTCTGAATAGGCTTTAAATGATTGGTACCTTTTTTTCTCTTCTGTTGCTTTGTCCTCTGCAGGGATTCCAGGGCTTTGGGTTTGGGGATGGTGGCTTCCAAATGTCATTTGGAATTGGGGCGTTTCCCTTTGGTATATTTGCAACAGCATTCAACATAAACGATGGGCGACCTCCTCCAGGTACTATGCATCTTATCTTCTCCAAGAGTCCTGTTACAAACAGATGTTTTACAAACTCCTTTGTAACTTTCAAACAAATAGCCTGCTAAATGACTAAACTTTCTGAACAGTAAAGTAAATCAGTGTTGTAAACAGAAACACAAAATGGAGGAAAATAGCCAGTAGAGAATGTAGTCTATAGCTTACATGTTTTGTATGAGCACTTATATAAGAAGCAAGTTTGTCACTTCCATATGATTTGCTGAAGGCCCTCCTGAGAGGACAGCAGTGGCACTGGAGAGGGACAGTGGCATCGGAGAATTCTCCCCTTTAACTCAGACATCTTCTCTGGTACTCCAGGGGAGTCTCTTTGAAAAATGAGACAAATTGGACTGGATTTTCTAATAATAATGAAAAGGAGTCAGTAGAGGTGTATGAAGGAGACCCGTATTTTGAAAACAGCAGGAGAGGACCATTTCCTGAAAGATGAGAAGTTAAAAATTAAGCTGGTGCTTTGTACCACAAAATGACAGCAAAGATTGTTCCTTTTTCATAAACTTATCTCTGAGACAGTCATCTGTATTCCACAAGAAGTAATTTGAAATTATTTCACTGTTTTTAATAAAGAAAAACCAGTTGGCTTACTCCAAGTAGTGGCTTTACTCTCTAAAAATTATGTAATCCCCAGAAAACCTCCTCCCCATCTGCACTGTAGGCAAACTGAGTCTACATGTTTTGAACAAGAAAACCTGCTGCCCAGGATTTTCTGGACTTCCTCTGTGGAGGGTTGTATCTGGCAAATCTTCACCATGTTATATGGCATAGGAATTTTGAGAAACAGAAACACATTCTTCATGTCACACCTGTGTTGCCAAGGACCTGTGCTGTCCTTTGGTCAAATTAACTTGCCTATTAACTATACTTCAGTGTCCACTGAAAATTTGTGGGGAGGTGTGACTGAGCTAAGGAGTATGTAAATATATGCTGTTGTAACACATAATTTAACCTACTCCTCTATCTGCTTTTCATCTGTGGATTCAGTACAGCAGTTCCAGAAAGGCATGTCTTGAGCTTTAGAGCTTGTGTGCTTTTCATTAGTTCTCTTGGTCAAGGCTACACATGCAGCTTTGATCGTTTTACCATTTCCTTATTCAGATACTTCACTTTGATGGGGAGAAGTGCTCAGGTAGAGGTGGTAAAGTTCCTTAGGATGGAAACAGTGAACTGAGCTCAGTAGTCAACAGTGAACTGAGCAGTGAACTTGGCTCAGCACTGTCCCCAGTACTCTGAGCAGACCTAGGTGTGCTCTGGCACTTGGAGCTGCCTGCTGGTATTAGTCATGAGCAGGTTTACCACGGGTCCTGCTTCAGGGCGCTGATGCTTGTCTTCCTTCTGATCTTCCAGTATGGCTGGCCAGTCTGAGGGTAGGAAATAGCAACAGTTTCTCACCAAGTAGATTCCTTGCATATCTTCAATTTATGAATGTACTATGTTCAGAATATAGACAATTCTGGAGAAGAGGAAGGAGCTGAACTGTTCTTTTTTTTTTTTCTACTTCCTGTTTTCCAGCTGTTCCAGGGACTCCTCAATATGTGGATGAGCAGTTCCTATCCCGCCTCTTCCTGTTTGTGGCTCTGGTGATAATGTTCTGGCTGTTGATTGCATAAATCTTTCCCATTATTCTATATATTCATGGCCATCAAGGCCACTGAAACAGTTAGAAACTGCATCCCCATCCCATTTTAAACCTCTTGGTGTCTGGTTCCTTAGCTAACTATGGGCTTCAGGAATTGGTGGTACCACAGCACAATGAGGAATCTCACATTTTGCACCAGAGTTGGAAATTAAACATTGGTTAAAAAGCATATTTCAGCTCAGCTATCTTGTACAACAGGTTCCTGCCACAAACCGTGGGTCTAGCTTTGAGCTCCACTCCTAAAAGGAGTGCTGCTTTAAAATCCTACGCCGATCAGTGACACCGGGTTTATGGGAAACAGTTGCCCCAAGGTAGACTGGGCAGGTAAGGAAACTTCTGCAGTGTGATCAGTATCTCGTGCTTGGCACCTGTGATGATCTGCCAGAGCTGCGGATGTTATTTAATGTCTTTACATCAACACCCAGCCTTCTTCAGGAAATCATCTGCAGCACTGCTGAGACCTTTTGGGCACAGCACATAATGCAAATGGAACCAGGTTTGGAGACTGGTTTATTTTCTTGCTGTTAGTTCCTGGCGTGACGGAAAACCCCTCCTGAAGCAGTTCTAATGTCTGTTAGAAGAAGGGATACAAATTTATGCTGCATTTTTTTTAAAGCCTGATTTGCTGGAGCCAGACACTGGAAGATTTTCTCCTCGTGGACCTGGGTGGGATTGCCGAACAGTACAACGCACCTGTCTGCCTCCCCAGCCCAGTTCCTCACTGACAAAACAGTGTTGTCTTCCTCGGTTCTGCACAGCAGCCTGTGGCTGCGCTCATGGATAATCCCCTCCCAACCTTGTCACTGTAGCTACATTTGTTCTTCCGCAAAGCTTTGAGACTTTCTGCGCAAGGTCATGTGCTCCGAATAAAATCCTATTACAGATCTGAGATCAGCTTGTTTGGGGAAAGGAACAAAAAGGCATCTTTACGTGAGTTTTGAGGTTAAACTTCTCATACTATAAAATTATACAGGAGGAAAAATCCTGCCTTTGCTAGCACTTGCCACAGTAGGGAGCATTTGGAAGAACTTCTCTCTACAGGTGCATACAGCTACTCCATGCCACAGCAGAATGGCTGCAGTGCAAGAGTCTCTGCAGTATCTACCAAAGATACTAATTTGAAGTGCTGGAGGGGACCACAACCATTTCTGTGCTGAGGGGAAAATATTTCAGAAGGTGAGCACTGTAGCCGTTTTTGAATCCTGTTGGGTATACAGCTTTAAAGAGTATTTCTGATGTATTTGTGTAGATTCCTTCAGAACAACAGATATGAGAGATTCCATAGCAAGATGAACAGTTTTCATATTTCTCTGACTTGGCAATTACATTTTTTTCTCTTACTGTTTTTAGATTATTTTGATTCAGATCGCTGGTAGTCATAATGATTTCCTGCCAGATTAATATTGTGACTTCCTTGTCAATAGACAGACAACTGACAAAACAAATCAACTCATAGAAACATTGTTTAGGTAGCTAGGGTTTTCTAGTGTATGGATGAGGTTCCTGGGCAGGACACCTTAATTGTTGTAGAAGCTTATTTATATAATTATAAACTGTTCACTTTTAGTATCAAGACAGAGGGTTACTGAAGTTTAACTTGCCTACCTCCAAATTCCATCTGGCAAGTAGACTTTTGCAAAGCTTCTGCAGCGTTTTGCCACATCTAGTCAATCTGGCAGAATATATTGCTCAACTATAAACAGTTGAAGTGGTGCTTCAACTTCTGTTGTGTGGCACTTTTGAGAAGCTTAACTTCTTCTGCATATGGTTCTTCTCAAGTGCATGACTCGGTAACTAGGACCCTTTCTAGGAGAAAGGCTATTGCATTCTTAAAAGCAACTGGCTGTAGTACAATGTCGCAGCTTTGACTTACTTTCATGAGCAGGCAGCACCACCTGCTGATGAAAAAGGAAAGTTCATGTGATGGTAAAGGGATGGTTTTCATTCTCCTTTTTGTATTGAGAAACGATCCTAAGAGCTGAGGTCATCCAGGAAGGAGCAGGGTATCCCTTTAAAGCCTTTTTCTGATAAAGAGGACAGAAAAGTGTAATAGGTTAAAAAGAGGTATTGAAACTGGTATAACTAACATGTTTTAAAATACAGAATTGTAATGGCTTGGGGTTTTTTTCTGTTTATTGGTGAAAGACACCAATGGCTTTAGATGGAGGCGGCTGCAGAAACATGACTGAGAACCCCCATTTTCCAGCAATCCAAGAATGAAATAGTCTAAAAGTGTTAATGCTTTTGTTTCTACCTTTTTCTTGGTGTGCTTTTTGTATCGTACCACTCCCCCCCTTGTACTCAGACTGCACACGGCCTATAATGGCTTGTCTAGTGCGTTACCATTACTGTTCACTAATTTTCACTGTTGTGAAAGTGATTTAGAATTAAAAAAAAAAAAAAAAATGGTTTTACATTAACTAGAGTGTGCCGCCATTCCTTTGTGCTTCGCGGAGGGAGGGAGGAGAGGTGCTGGCCCGAGCCCTACCTGCAGGTCGAGGAGCCCGTTGCTGGTCCGTGCCGCAGGGGCAGGAGCAGGAGCAGGAGCAGGGCTCCCTTCCCGCTCCCGCGGGGGGCAGCGGCCGGTGGGGCCGCGCCAGGCCCGGCGCAGGCCCGAGGCCCCGCGGGGCGGCCCTGCGGGGGGAGCTCCCGCCACAGCACATGGGGGCGGGGCTGCCGCTCGGGCTGCGCTACCATTGGTGTTCGCCGCGGAAGGGGCGGGACGGCCGCCGCCGAGTAGTGCGGGGGATTGGCCCGTGTTTCTGAGGGAGGGGGAGAGGGGCGGAGCGCCGATTGGCCTGCGGCGAGGAAGGGGGCGGGGCGACGAGCTGCCCGCGGGGGGGGTGGCGGGGGGCGAGCGCGCCGAGTGCGCTCCCGGACCAGGTGCGGGGTGACCTACCGGGCGTCCCGTAGGCGCTGACGTCAGGCGCGGGCGAGCCCCGGGGCGGTGGCGCGGGATGGAGGCGCCGCCAGGTGAGGGGTGAGGGGGTCGGGGGGGTGCGGAGCGGGAGGCGGCTGCCGCCAGGGCTGCGGCCCGGCCCGGGCCCGGGCTCGGGCTCGGGCTCCGTTAACGCCGCTGCCTGCTGGGGCCGGTCGCGCTCCCTCTGTCCCCGGTGTCCCGCCGGGGCTGGGCCCCCCTCCCGGCCGCGGGCGCTGGCCGGTGGCCGCCGGCCGCCGGGGTTGTGGCTGCTGCTTTTCCTCGCTGGCTGCCCCTGTAACGTTTCTCCTGTCCTGGGACTTGGTGGACCTGTTAAATTGGTCATGTCCGCTCGCTTTTCTTTCACACTATTTCCTGCTCTGTTTTGTTTTTTGTTTTTTTGTTTTTTTTTCATTTCCGTCGCTTCTCCGGGATACTTAAGCAATTTCGGTTGAATATAGGACTATTCATTTCCATTTGTGACCCAATCAGCCTGTCTGGGTACAGTTAAAAAGATGCAGCGCTGCAGCTGAAAGTAAGGTGACTCCTACCTGGAGTTCAGAAGCTGAGGAGTAAAGCTCAGCATGATCTGTGTGGAGGACTATTTGTTGTTTTTAGTCAGCTGCGATGTAGTCAGGGGTCTTTAACTTCCTTTAAATAGGATCCACGGTCGGTATGCACACTTGCACCTTGTGCTGGTGGCACTCATCGGGAGGAGATGGAGCTGCAAGATGTGTGGTTTGCAAGCTTTTTTGGTCTGTGGGGTGGCAGCAGCTCCAGCAGTTTAGCTGGCTGCTGGGGCTTTCCGCTGCTCGGGGAGGAGAGCGTCAGCTGCCTGGGCATTGAGGCACGGGCACACGTGGCTTTGCCCTTTATTTCTGAGCCTGCTTGGTGTGCTGAAAACCAATTTGCTTTTTAGAAGAACATGAGTAGCACAAGCTTTTTTTTGTTTTGTTTCTCCTAACGCTTAGTCTGTTGTGCAGACCCGAGGTCAGGTGCAGTTCTCAGTGTTCCAGACAGCAGGAGGGTGCAGCTCCGCTCCCAGGTGTGGAGCTGATGCTCAGCTGGGAAGTGAAGTAGTAACTTCCACCAAACGTCACATTTGAATGAATCTCATCCAGCACTATAGTCTGCATGGAGACCTTTACGGGTGGTGTTTGCTTGTGGTTGAGCAACATTTTTTTTCTCTGAAATAGCTATCTGTGTAAAATGTACAAGGAGATCTTCACCTTGTTTATTTTTAAATGTTTTCATTGACCTACACAGTGGGGCAAAAATACATAGAAAGCTGATGGCTTCTGTTTTGTGTAGCTTCAAGGAACGTGACCTTAGTATCAACTTGCCTGAGCAACTACCAAGTTTTAACGTTCTTTGGAAAATGGAAGTTTGTGGTTAGTGGTTTTATTTCTCTAAGTGCACTTCTTTCCTTATGCAACCTTACTGCAAACCTTGAACTTTTGGTAGCAGGAAGAAGCAGGTTTGACATCTGCCCAGCTATGTGACATGTCCCTTGCGCCATCCTGTGCTCATCCAGATCCTTGACTCTTCCTTTCATATGCCTGCATAGCTGTTTGGATTTGGGATGGCATTTATCTGTGTGTCAAATGCTCTTTGTGCACAAATTTTCATACTGTTTTTCCTAGCTTGCCTGCATCTCAATAACTAGCTCTCTCTGGGATTTTTTATGTCAGTTCTACCAGAAACCATTATAATTACAATTGTTTTCTCGAAGGGCAATAGGCCAGTAGCATCAGCCCCTCTTCCAAAGTCTGACGGTAGTCTGCTGTTGGCTCTACAGTCTTTACAGGAATATTCATTCAAGTGTGTAATTCCTTCCTGGTAGTCAAGTTGTTCTCTACTGAATAAAGTTTGTCTTTCCTTTCTTTCAGTTCTGGGAAATCCAGTTAATTATATAAATGAATGCAAACGTTATGTGCCGAGTCAGTGGCGGGGGGAAACAGTTGCGTGGCTTCCTGGCCTAGCATGGTTCTCTGTGGGAATTGTTACACTAGACCGATCTGCCTTCCTGAAATTTCTGTTCTGAAGACTAGAACAGCTGTAACTGAGCTGTTTTTTGTGAAAAGTCATATTGCTTTCTTCTACAGAATGTGCAGGAGCAGATGGTGATGTTATGTCTGGAGGAAAAAAAATACATCTATAAGATGTCAGAGTTCCATTTGGGAACTCCACTCTCTGGGGTTACAGACTGCCTGGTATTTGTTTAACTTTCTATGTGTGAAGGCTTTCCTGCCAGTTATACGATTTAAGGTTGTTCTTTCTCAGGGGTGCAGCAATCCGTGTTTTCTCTGACGTAAAAGAATTACTGTATGTCACTTTATTCCTGCATGCAGGTGAAGAAGTCTGGAGATGTCTAGGATGTGGGGACAGCATTGCTGCTGGTCAGCGCCTCTACAAGACTGTTAATGAAGCTTGGCATATTTCCTGCTTCCGGTAGGTAAAATTTTAGCCTGTTAAACTCTCCTTGTGTTGTTCAACTGACTTGGAACCTGGTGGATAAGTACCAATATTAACAGGGATTTCTTGCTGTCATCTCTGACCCTGACCTGTTCTGGGGCCTCTTGGCGAGCGACTGCATGCTCTTGTTTGCGGCCGTACTTCAGTGCCTGCAGTAGCACTCTGGAACTGACTTTCAGTCCCAGCAGCAGTCTGACACTGCCTGGCAAAGCGTTGCCATGCTGACGCAAACACATCCGGGAATACAGATAAAGTACAAACGAAAGCTCTGATTTACTGGTGGTGGCAGAAGCCATGGGTTGCATGTTGGTCTTCAGCTGCATTCCAAAGTAGTGCCCAGGCAATTTGGATAGCCTGTTGCTTTTTCCATATGTGGTAGGTACAAGGGAGATATGAGGGTGGTGGGGAAAACTGCTGATACGGTGGAAGGAGATCTTGCCTTTTGATTTCTTTCCTTTTCAGAAAATAAGACATACAGATTTATGAAATCTGTCAGATAATGTTGCTATCAGCAAGGACAAAAAGATCTCTGACATGCTTTTCTTCCTAGTGGTAGTAGTAATGCCTCTCATCAGTGTTTCATGAATACTTGGTTCAGTTTTTATGCTCCAGAATCACATTTCTGAAGGGGCCTATATTTTTGGGAGGGGTTGAGTACCTGCAGCTTCTACTGGCTTTTGTGTTGGCTTGAATCTGGAGAGGCTAATGTTTTGGATACTGTCAAAGCAAATGGGGGAAAAGGAAGCCAAAGTGTGGTTTTGGAGGAATGTTTGCTGTGCCGAGATAGGCATCTGCTGTCCTGGTTTAATGTAGCAAAAAAACCCAAGCAAAATACCCCAACATATCTGAAGTGATGATTATGGTTATTGGTATATTTAAAAAAAAAAAAAAAAAGGTATAGCATGCTGCCAAAGCAGTGCTAGCTCTGTTGACTTGGAACATGCTCTTAGTTGCAATGACATGTTGATAATTACAATTACAGCTTTATATGACTACAAAGCCCAGTCTTTTGTATTTCTATTGGTTTGAGTATTCATGTTTAGTTATATTGAGTCATCTTGTCTTAATCCTGGTTTTCTCTTCTCCTTAAAGACCTAGTATCCTGTTGTTGAACTTCCCTAGATTCTGCCAGTAGCCAAACCCAAAACTGTGTGTTCTAGTAAGTCTTTCTTGACTTTGAATGTATTTCCGTCGTGGGTCTTGACTTGTAAATGACTTGGTGCTTCTTGCTACTGGGCCTGTGGAGGTGGATAACAGTTGAGCTGAAGGCAAATCCTGTCCTCAGGACACTTTACAGAAAATTTGATATCATAGTTTATATTGTATAACAGAAGTTTGGTGGTGGTTTTTTCTTTTTGTTTGTTTGTTTTATAGAAGTGAAGATGCCAACTTTTCTCCTGAGATGTATAATTACTCTTTGCAGTTGTCGATGCACTTCTCTTATGCTCTGTGCTTTTGGCTAGCTCTAGCACCCAGCTAAGCTGCCATGCTGAATGAACAATTGGAACCTGTGGTAAAGGAAGCTGCCCTTCCCTTTTTCCTAGTTCCAGGGTAGGACTGTACATGAAAACAGATTTCCAGTTTTCACTCTCTTCCCCCTTTTCTTCTGTTATCCCTAAACCATGCTGAGCAGCAGTCTTGTGCTTGATATCACAAAGCTAAACTTTAAAAAGCCTCTAAGGGTAGGAGCCTTTGGCAGCTGGTAGCTGTGAGTTCCGGCAGCTCTTGTGGAGTGTTTTTTACAGTCTTCCTGTGGATTAGCTGACTCCCTGGCCTGGCACATAATTTCTCTAATGCTGATTGGCACTGCTCCAGGCTCGTTAGCTCTGTTTATTCTTGGTCAGGCTAGGCTGCTGATCATGCTTGGCACTGGCAGTAGCTGACGTACATGCATGTCTCTGAGGATTTAAGTTTTTTGTCACTTCCCTCCTTCCTCAAACTGCCTGTACAGGAGCTTTGTTTCTGAAACCTGTATTTGCTCTGGTGTGGCTGGAGGGACAAGCAAATCCCTATTCGTGGATCTTGGGT